ACGAAAGGGGGAGGGGCGAAGCGGATCGCAGGCAGATCCCCGCTTTCGGCCTTACGTCACCACCCGCCCCACCCCGTCGCCCAGGTTATTACCAAGGTTGAGTGCAAGATTAGCTCGCACGTCCAGGATGATGGTCAAAACGTGAACCCACTTCAGCACGAGGCTTCATTACACCGCCACAACTAATTACACACAATCTCCTACACATTATGAACAGGATACCCTTTTCAATTTGGTTTTTTTCTCTGATTTCGATTTCGGTCGACAATAGCCCACGTGTCACAGTGACCGCTGTAGTACTGATGTCCAGATGTGTTCCTTCCAATCCCACATGCCGAGTGCTCATGAATATTCGATGCAGAGGAAACGACTTTTCAGATCCGAAGCATAACTGCAACTACTGTCGTAAGCCTTAAATGTAAATTATGGATTATAAAAGAATAACAGGATATTATGAATCGTCGGGCACAAACAACCACGCCCAAGGCCGAAACAGAATCCGTGACCCTGCCATCCGAGGCGGACCGGGTGCTTACGCTTTTTCACCGTTTACAGAGCCAGCAGTCCCGATCTTTTGTTCCTTGATTACCCACTACAATAACTTGCTACAAGAATTTAATCTTACATAACGTTTTTTTTCAATTTTTTATTCCAAATGGCGACAGGAAATAATATAATAAAGTAACATTTTTCACGAGAACAAGAAAAGGACAAGAAAAAAGTTTATGAAGAAAAGAAAATATTTGCTAGTAAAATTTAAAAATCTAAAAAGAGTTAAAATGCATTACTCAAATTCGTAACAATTATAATAGACCTAACTACGCTATATTTTCGCAAAATTGTTCTTTGTTCTTTGACTAGCTCTTCGTGGTGCTTTTAGATTTATTATTTAACTCTGCAATGAATTGCTGGCACCATACATCAATTTCACATTTTATATCGTATTATATTTACATAAGAAATACCTTACTTTTCTTAAATCATTTCGTTTCGCAGCAGACTTAAAATATGCATGGCCAAGAAGTCGGGAGTTCCAACGTACATTACAGTTGCCTTTCAAACTGCCGGAACAAGTAGCCTTCAAAATCACTAGCTAAAGTGCTAAGATAGAATTTAATAAGTGAAGCAAAGTACAAGTACATCCAATATTTGTTGATAGTGAAGAGAACAATCTTCGATTTCTTATGTTAATTAACAACTGCGGATCAAGTAATCTCTTCTCAACAAAAATGGATGTTAATTTTCATATTATAATTCCAACTAGATGGATATTTCATGTTGATGTTCGTTTTGCTTCATTTTAAGTTGGTCATTTTAAGAATGCAAAATGTATGAGCGAGAGATTTTTTAGATGTTAAGATAAATAATTTCACATTCGCTAATTTCAGCACTTCTGCGTTCTTTGCAGGTGGCTGAAAGAATCCCAACCATCATGAGACTGCACGCGTCGCTGCGCAGCGGCAACAACACGTTGGTGCTCCTCTGCGTGTGGTTCCTGTTCAGTTTGCCGAGTGCGTGTTACGGCCAGTGCCCGTGGGCGCGGGACCTCAAAGAGTTACAGTCGTCGTGCATATGCGCGTACAACCTCGGCCACGAACTCTCGGTGCAGTGCGACATGGTAGACTATAGCTTGCTGCTGAACGCCCTGGACCGGTACGCCAGGGCGACGCCCATAGACCTCTTGTACATTAACAACAGCACCATCGCCAAGCTGGAGGCCGGCAGCTTGGAGCGGGTCAAGATCCAGAACCTGCAGATGTCCGGGTGCCGCATCCGCGGCGTGCAGGCCGGCGCCTTCCGCGGCCAGGAGGCCTCGCTCAAGAACCTCAACCTGCAGAACAACGAGCTGGGCGAGGTGCCGGTGGAGGCGCTGCGGCCACTGGCGCGCCTCGCGCTGCTCGACCTGTCGCGCAACCGCCTGCGCCGCGTGCCCGACGAGGCGTTCGCGTCGCTCGCCAGCCTCACCACGCTCAAGCTCTCCGACAACAACCTGACGCTGGCGCCGGGCGCCTTCCGCGGCCTCGAGCGCTCGCTCAAGAACCTCAACCTCAAGGGCACCGGGCAGAAGCGCGTGCCCGACGCCGTGCGCGGGCTCAAGACGCTCGCCTTCCTCGACATGTCGCAGAACGCGCTGCAAGAGCTGGGCGGCGGGGCCGACGGGGAGGCGGACGGCGTGCTGGCCGGGCTCGACTCCCTCGCCGCCCTCAACCTCGAGCGCAACCTCATCGACCGCGTCGCCGACGACGCCTTCCTCGGCGTCACCGACACGCTCAGCTCGCTCAGCCTGCTCAACAACCTGCTCGCCGTCTTCCCCGCGCGAGCCATCAACAGCCTGCGCGAGCTCAGGGTAAGCCAGCCCAGTGCACTCTCTCAGCTCAGCTGCTCGGAGCGGCGGTCGGGCCCCGCCGTTTTCCACGCCCAAGTCCAATTCAACACAAGTACTCGCGCGGGGAACATTTATAAGAAACGGTAACGCTCTACATTTAACCTCGCTCGAAAGATCCGGGCAAACATACGAAGAGAATTTTTAGATGTCACCTCACCAAAGCGTTATACATCAACTCTTTCACAGCAAACAAAATTATACGACCCTATAACATTTGTCTAGTTTCACTTCCTGACAGAATCGAACAAGAAGGGGAAAATGTATAATCAGAGTAATTATTAATAAAACGTCACTTTGAGCCAATAATTAGTCATTCCAATTCGCACATCTGAGTGTGTACGAGGACAGTAGGGAAAAAAGTACGTCTGGGTGCAGGACTATGTCCGTATTCGATCAAGGGACGAAAATGATTGCTTGATAACAATTTCGGTGATCGAAACAGTTTATTCCTGAAGTAATAAAGCTAGAATAAAAATAATCACCAATTTTTTAAAAAAAGTGCACCCATTTTTACTTATATTCTGCAAAGCAAATTCTCCGTTTAATAACTTACCTAAAATTTACTTTCACTCAAGGATCACGACGCGTCATGCGAGAACTATCATTCACCCATGGGTCATTCATAAAAAAACGCATTGTGCTAGATAATGCAAGGCTCGTGAGTGTGTGAATGCGCGTGTTGAAGGGGGGAGGCGCAGGATCTACAACTTGCAGACCGGAGTTGTCGAAGGTCGTATTCGCCGACAGGCTGCAATCTATTCGAATTAAATTACCCGCAATAAAAACATCCTCTCGGTCAGAGCCCACAATAAACTATGGAATTCCTGAGTGGTTAGTGGTTGCACTATTGTGAGATGAGCAACCTCATACTGCTCTTCTTGTACCGAACATCGTCTACATAAGTATCACTGCATCCAATATTCTTTGTATATTTGTATATTTTGACGATTACAAATGCAGCATCAACTCCCAAAAACCCTGGGTCATTTCCGACATATTTCGTTGTGCTCCGGAAGGGGTTTTAATGCACCGCAGCCGGGAGAGCGCAGGTTCTGAGCGCGAGATACAACATGCTGACTAGGCGGTCGCAGGACACGTTCGCAAACACTCCAGCCGGTGTATTTCATTTGGCCTTATCACGATTAATACACTCACCGGACTCACATTTGGACTCTTTTTCGCTAAGCGTAAGTGTTTTCTGGATCCACAGCCGAAAGATGTGCAACAGTATGTATTTTCATTTTTTTTGTAGTCTTCTTATTGATCTGAATGCACATTTTCGAACATTTGACTCTTATTTCTCGGTCAATGACATTTTTTTCCGAAAAAAAGTTGTGTTTATGTTGTTTGCTTCACTGTTTACCCTTTACTTCTTACGCTACACCCAGTAGGATTTAGAAGGCGATGGACTGGTGTAAACAGCATCAGAAAACAAAGTGAACAAAAAGCAGAAGGGTAAAGCGCTTTGCAATCTCCCAACCGTGCAGTCAAGCACTGTTCGCAGACACGCTGCTCGCGCATTCGATTTGGCCTAGTCACTATGAAAACATTCATTCATTCAAGGTCCACGAACCTCCAAACGAACTTTCGGTGCTTGCATTGCTTGGATATGTGAAACATTCTTTCACGAGAATTATTCGCAAAGCGTATACGCGAGTCATTTTAAAAAATCTCAGCATGTTCCTCCAGTATTTTTTTTATCTTTCGACCTCGGAAGCATATTTTCCCACAGAAAGCGTTTTCCAATTTCATTGCAGCGAGTATGTCACCGGAAGTTAGTGCGCATTACGGGAGATTACGTCTCGGGAGGTCATTAGCTTCATTAGCAATGTGACGGCTTCATGTCAGAACAGTCGTAATTCGCACCCTAAAGCCGACAACTCACACCGTTTCGTCTATCGTCGTTTGTAACGTCAAAACCTTTTTTTGGACAGTTCTTAGAAATATTCTCAGTGCTTCCACTCAATATTAGCACAGCATTCTGGACGATACCGAAGAAGAGGCATCGTCTAGCAGGAGCTGTGCAGTAACAACGCGTATCTCAGCAAACTGTTGTGGGAACAATTCGTTCGTCCAACAGGGGGAAAGACGCTGGTGTGTGGTTGTTGCCTCCCCCTGCGTGTCGTGGCCAATTATTCCTCCCAGTCCAAGTGCACGGGGCGTGCGCAGGTGCTGGACGTGGGCTACAACCTGCTGGCGGAGCTGCCGGAGGACGCGTTCGCCGGCACGCCGTCGCTCACGCTGCTGGCGCTGGACGGCAACCTGCTGGAAACGGTGCCGGCGCGCGCGCTGCGCCACCTCAACGCCACGCTGCGCGGCCTCAGCCTGGGCAGCGCGCACCTGCGCTGCGACTGCCGCCTGCGCTGGGTGGCCGAGTGGATCCGCCACGGCGACCTGCAGGTCACCAGCCGCGAGCGCAACCCGCAGTTCTGCGGCGCGCCCGCGCACCTGCGCGAGCGCAGCTTCTACTCCATCCGGCCCGACGGTAACGCCTGCTCAGTCACCACTCCTCTCTTTAAATTCATCCTCCTCTGTTTAACTTAATCCTCCTGTTTAAATTAATCCTCCTCTGTTTAAATTAATCCTCCTCTGTTTAAATTAATCCTCCTCTTTTTAACTTAATCCTCCCCTGTTTAACTTAATCCTCCACTGTTTAACTTAATCCTCCTCTGTTTAACTTAATCATCCTCTGTTTAAATTAATCCTCCTCTGTTTAAATTAATCCTCCTCTGTTTAAATTAATCCTCCTCCGTTTAAGTTAATCCTCTTCTGTTTAAATTCATCCTCCTCTGTTTAAATTAATCCTCCTCTGTTTAAATTAATCCTCCTCTGTTTAAATTCATCCTCCTCTCTTTAAATTCATCCTCCTCTCTTTAAATTCATCCTCCTCTCTTTAAATTCATCATCATCATTTTCATTCTTTATTCACTTTATGCATCTTCATTTTATTCTTGATAGCATTCTCAGTCTTCATTCTAAAATTTTCCAACCTCAACATTACGGATTTTATTTTTTTCAACTTCATCTTCTCAGTTGCCTTCTTCTCAAAGTTCTACTACTCCGCGTGAGTCGCACGTCTTCAATTTGTTTCTATCCTTCGCATACTTTCTCCACTTGTCGGTCATTCTTTGAATGTTTATATAAAGTTATTTACATTTAACTTTGTATGTCCATATATTGACAGTATTCTTACTGTAGACGGATCTTTGAATGCACAAAAGGTGCGATTTTAGAGACTACTTTACTTTCTAATTATCTAAAATTTAATGAAATAATTTTCGGATTACTTCACCCACCCTCTTTAATCATGTCCATCCTCTCACCCGTTGCATCCACCGAAATCCACCATTCTGGTCGCAGCATAATATACAACTATGTCAAATAGATGTTTAATGTTATTCTAAAAAACAGTAAAGGTAGTACAATGAATTTGGAGATACGGTAGAGAGAGCTACTAAAATACCTTAAGAATTCGATTTCATTTAAATATCTGGGGAAAATGTACCGTGTAAGATATTTTCAGAATCATTTTCAAAATTAATTAATTGAATTTGCAATTGCGTAAAACATGGCGTGAAGAAAGAGAATCAAATGCAGAAAGGATTAGCATTTAAAACACATACAACAAACCTCAGCTCTAAGCAGAGAAAGAAACCAGTTTCGGGTAATTAGCAAATTTAGTTACGTTTTAAAAGGAGTTAATTACCCTTTGTTTAAATAAATCAACATCCTTCTTTACAAAACGACAATATAGAATTTTTCTATGTGCTAATTGACTCGACATTTACAATGAAACATGTGTTAAGAAGTCACTCTTAGCTCCGAAGAAAATAGCCGTTAGTTCAGGTCATCGCTTAATGAAGGTTATAACTATATACACCCAGCCAATTTGTATATATGTACAATTAAGTTAGTATGCGTTGGTTGTTAACACATTTTAATTAGACTAAATCAACAAAATACAGGAAGCCTATTTGAACGTGCGCACGACTCGTATACAAAACCATTCAAATCCCGCCATACCCGATCTTTTTTCACGCCTACCGATGTTTATTCCCAATTGTAGACTTGATTTTTAACTTGCCTTGAAGCTTCAGTTCACGCCCTGAGAAAATTACAATAATGAAAATCGTTTATTTTTTCTGGAAGAAAAAATACCTTCCTGAAAAATAGGCATCTCCAGATGTCACTTTCTAGTTAAGCCGCATTTGCGTTCTAACGCAGGAAGATACTGAATAAACAGTAATATCTACCCAATTTTCGTTTATTACAGCTTTACATATCGAAATTGGAAGTTGTGACCTTGGAATATACGTTACTGTACGGAATGTGAGTGGCCACTGACTGCAAGGCCAGGCGACCGCTTAAAAACGGAATATTAAAGTTTTATGGGCAAAGTAATCGGTTCCAAGTTAAATGGCCGTTAGTTGAGGTGACCGCTTTATCAAGATGGCCGTTTCATAAGGTTTCACAATACTTTATAAAAACATTGTATAATACGATTTCTATCAGAGAGGCAGCATCAAATGATAAAACTTATGGATAACTGCCCAGAAGTGATACATATGTTATTCCGTCCCCAGAACTGAAGTGCGTGAAAGACGAGGACGAGGCGGAGGACGCCCTCCAGCCGGGCCCCACGCACGAGATCGCCCTGGAGGACGACGACGACTTCGAGCCGGTGAAGCCGGCGCCCGAGATCACCCTCCCGCAGCCGCCCAGCCCCACCACGCCCCGCACCACGCCCTCCACGACCCGTCCACCACGCCCACGCTCCCCCACCACCGCCCGCACCACCCCGCCCACCACCACGACAGACCACCACCACGACCACGGCGGCACGACGGCCGGACCAGACCTCCACACCTAGACCACACCACGAACGACGAGACGACTGCGCGCCGCCAGCCGCCCAGCAACGCGCCGCCGCGTCGCGGGGCGCGGTGCCGGCGGGCTGGCCGGCGCGCGGCCCGCCCGCGCCGTGGCGTTCGGGGGCCGTGGCCGGCGGCGGGGCGCGCCCACGGGCCCGCGCCCGCCCCTCGTGCTGGCGCACCCGCACGCGCACGGGGCCCGGCTGCAAGCGGCGATTGTCCAAGCGGACGCCGCGGGCGTGGGCGCGGGCGCGGGCGCCGGCGCCGCCGAGCGAGAGGTGGTGGTGCGCAGCGCCCACCGCCAGGACAACTCCGTCGTCATCCAGTGGGACTCTTTCACCTCCAACATCCTGGGCTTCCGCGTCGTCTACCGCCTCTTCGGAGACGCCACCTTCAAGCAGGGACCGCCGCTCGAGGCCAGCGAGCGCGAGTTCCGCATCAAGAACGTACCGCCGCAGGTCAGTGGACCGCCTCCCTTCTATGGTCCCTACACACGAGCGTGGCGTTGACGCGCGTCGTAAATCAACGCTGTATCTTGTGCGAAACGGCACACGAGCGATTTGGACGAAAGATACTGTCATAATCTTCGACGAGCGTTTCTAAACGCGCGTCAACGCAACGATCGTGTCACACAGGCCTTAGATAAGCGTCTGTGCAGGGGAATGGCTTTTGATACAGCATTTGATATCGAGTTCAATTGAAGATCGCAATACACAGCATGTTCCACAAAACAGTGCACAAATGTAGAGGACAAATAGAGGGGGTGAAGAAAACTAGTTTTCATTAGTCTAAAAAATTAGGGGTCGGCGATGGACTATATCAAAAACGTTCCCCTTCCCCTATGAAGAGTGCTAAAAGACGCTTACTCGAGTTGTTCGAATGACCAGGTATTTCAGGCTGAGGAGTTAGTTATAGGATTGGCGATAAATATTGCACCATGAATCTCCGAGAGTGCCATATTATATGATGAGAAGAGCACAGAGATGCTGGAAAATGATTGATGTAACGCTAAATTGATTTCTGCTCAACTCTATTATTTGATTCAATTCAACACTTAAATATTTCATAACAATTTTTAAAAATAATAAACTGTTCCCCATAATTCACTTTCTAATACCTCCATGGCTTTGTCATCCTTTAATGTGACGTTCTTTTGCGAGTCCTGCAGCAATATTTAACGCCTTAATGTTATCTCTTATCTCTCTCAGCCTGAAATAGTGACGGACAGTACGACTCTCGAGAGCGTTTCTATATCCACCTCGCAGGGGAGAAAAACAACTTTTATATATCATAGCGCCGAGCCTTGACTTCTTTCACACTGGATTCATTTATGAAAACTGCTTTCCATATTCCCCTCTATCAGACTTCTGTGTTAGCGCACTGTTATTGACACACCCTGCAAACGTAAATTAATTAAATAGAGAAAATGCAATAAGAAGTAGGTCGAATAACGGTAAGTTTCCTGAAGATGTGCAATTTCGTCAAGCCATTACTCTACCTCAGTTAGCTGATTAAAATATCAAGAGAGAAAGAAAAACCTGCGTATCGTATTAACAGGATAGGAAGAGTCAATTTGCGCACCGACGATGTGTGAACCGCTGATAAAATATCAGTATCGATATAATTTTAAAGATCAAATGGTATCAAAACCAATAAAACATCGATATTAGAAGGAAAGGATGTATCGCAAATACATATTTGTCTTTGTTTAACTACATCCTACATACGATTTTTTTATATCAAAATAATAACCTACGTACTATTGAACGAAGAATTATTATCACGGAAAAATGATTTTTCTTTTCACATCAATAAAATCTTGAAAGAGCAACAACAACGATAAAAATATTACTTTCATATTGTTCAATATATTCAATTGTATAATGCATCGGAATAGATGTCGTCGAAAAAATCGAAATATTTTGGAAATTATTGTATTATAATACAACCAATCCATTCTCGAAGAAAACGAAAGAATGCCTAGAATCCCATTCCAATTGCAACTGCAGCTCCCATTATTGCCCCTGCCACTGCCACATTCTGTCAAGTACTTGGAGGCCTTGCTGTGCGTGTGCGCAGGAGTGCATCGTGGTGTGCGTCATCTCGCTGGAGGACGTGAACATCACGCCGCAGACGGTGCCGTACGCGCAGTGCCGCGAGGTGCGCACGGTGGCGGCGCCGGGCAGCAACATGGACAAGATCACCATCGCGGCCAGCGCCGCCATCTGCGGCACCGTCGTCATCGCCGTGGTGGTGTTCGTGGCGGCGAGCCGGCGCCGCTCGCGCAAGCTGCACACGCTGCAGCAGCACCCGCACGCGGGGGTGGGCGTGGGCGTGGGCGGCGGCGCCATGACGCTCGCGCCGTCCAAGGGCGGCGGCGGCCTGGCGCGCTGGCGCCTGGGCACGGCTGGCCCGCGCGGCGCGCGGGCCTGGCCGGCTTGCTGCGCGGCGCGCCGGCCCCACCCCCAGCCCCGGCGGCCCGCTCTCCTCGCTCGCCACGCTCGGCGCCTTCACCCCGCACAAGGACTGGGACCAGGTGTCGGTGTACAGCAACCGCAGCATCCCGCGCCCGCGCGTCTACCACATGGAGCGACAGGGTGAGCGCCCCTCTCCCCCTCGCCGCAGGCGGCTCAGCGCGCCCTCGCTTTCTCTCCCCCTCACTCCCAACATATTCTCAATAATATTATTATCCACACACTTTTCTTAATCATCTCCACGTATATGTTCTGACAGGAAAAATAAATCTGTCGAACATTAAGGCGGCTCCACACATGTGGCATTCGGCGAATCCCGAGTAGTGTGAACGGGTTGCTTGCGATTCGCCGAGCGCCGAACATTCGGCCTACCCACAGCGTGTTGGTCTTTATGACACGTCGAAGGGAGTGAACGTTCGCCGAAAACATCAGCTGTTCGGAATTGGGCGAGCACTAGCTCGCTGCTCGGCGAATGACGAATGTGTGGAACCGCCTTTATCCGAACGGTCATCGCATATCCAACTGCAAATTGACACTCAAAGTCGCCTTCTTGTCATGTACAAGTTTCACTTATTTATTAGTATTTACATTTCGTTCCGTGTTTTGCAATTATTTTCTCGGTTAGAAAGTAGCAGCCTAAATATTAAAACATAAGTAAGATGGATACAGCCAATGTTTTCTCATAAACGAGGCGTCTACTAAATTCGAAAGTCTCTCTTAATCTATAAGACGCACGCATCAAATGCAATGCTACGTACACACGTTGTAGTTTGCAAAGTAGCCCACACATTTTTTGCCGCTTTTCTTTTCTTCCCGACGAGACCTGAGTGTCCGTTCGCCCTCCTCCCTTTGGCTGCAAAGGGGCGCGGGCTCACCCAGTGACCGCGGGTGCGTGCTTGTGCGCAGGTTCCATGAACGCCGGCTGCTCCATCGACCACCAGGACGGCGGCTCGCACTTCGGCGCCTCCCTCAACGGCGCCAAGGCGGTGAAGACGCGCTCCATCGCGGACGGCCAGTCGCAGCACAGCTTCTCCAACCACTCGGGCCGCTACACGGGGCCCTACTCCAGCGGACTCGTCAACACACGCCCGGGTACGGCGGCTTCTTCCTCGCGGTGGCCGGCGGCGGGCGCCATGTCGATCACGAGGGGGGATACTCGATCCGTGCGGTCAGGGCGCTAAAACCCTTCGGTGAAGCTTCGGTAACTGTGTTGTCGTGCAGGAGTTAGAGAAAAAATAGTTACTACATGGGTTCGGACAAGCATTCTTGCGGATTTTTCAGACCCTGTATTCTAGGTTGGGGATACGAAAAGTTTGAGAAGCTATTGATAAACCCACTCTCCGTCAGCGCTCACCACTGCCCCAGCAGCATCGAACAGGAGGTTCTCGGTTCCGGTTCCTACGAGTGGCGGATATTCCATCCACATTCCTGGATCGAATTCAAACAAACTGTCGGAAAGACAATTCTAACGATCGGCTACTCGGATCGGTAGTTTTCCCAAGTTTCTCGGATCAATATCATTCGAATGCCGGAGTAGATCCTAACAAGCGGATCAAGGATCTCGCACGATCTTTTCTTCCTCATTCTTGCCCCGAATATACACGTGCAAGCACCACACAACCACATATCGGCAGCTCAAGAGCTTGTCCCGGCTGGGGCAGTGCCCGAGGGGAGTAACATCAAGCCGGTTATCACGATCCAGCAGAGGAGGTATACATTCCGGGATATATCACGCGCTTCCCTTGCGAAACAAATGCCCTCAGTAACTGGCGCGCCCGGGATCTAATCCCCCACTCCCTATGCGGATTTTATACCTTGTCGGATAGTGCGTAATTCATCAGGCATTTTTGACCGTATTTGGCACTCGCCACAAACCGAATGGTGTAGTGTAAGGTCCCGTTCACACAGAAATATTACCGTAAACAAAACGTGAACGTAAGTTCGCAAGGAGGTTACTTAATTGAATCATTCACTTATCATCAAAACTATCATCAGACGCTAATACAAAAATTTGTCAACTCTCCAAACTTTCATGTTCGTGGTATTTCAGGGAATAACACTATCACAATGCAAGTGACAGAAAAAGATAAAATGAAGCCCTATTTTAGACGTATCGTCTTTATGAATATTTTTTTATTGCTGTCAAACCCTTAATTTGCTTTTAAGGGTAATGCAGCTTTATTTTCACGTTCGAGTTTGATTGCCGTTGTGAATGATAATGCGAATCTTGTTCTCGGGTCATATTTATGTCCTCAAGTTACTGTAAATGTTTCTATTGAACGGACTCTAACAATGTAAGAGTGCCGGATTGCACAAACATTGTTTGAAGGACAGATATCTCTGTAAAAACGCACTGCAGCGCGTGTCGTGTCTCGCTCGGACAAATGCATGGCTCATGTTTCTAGACAAGTCAACTGTTGTGGGCCTTAATCCCTCTAGTGAAGTGAATGTTTCATCCTGGGAGGAATGCGGTGATTCCTGGATGGCGAGATCCGATGCCGACCTACACGCCGCTCACGTCCGATTCCCTCTTCATTTGACTCCCCAGCGGGGCATCGCCCCAGACGGGATAATCTCTAAGCTCCCTACATGTGTGGTGCGTAATACATGCATGTACGTGTGTGTACACAAGAGGAGAGGATTGGGCAAGGAAGAGAAAGGAAAGATTGCGGCCGGTCCGTGACCCGTATGTCCCGACATTCATTATTACTGTTCCGGTATTTCCCTCGTGTTGACCGGAGATATCACGGAAAACTACCAATCAGGGTAGCTGGTCGCCAGACTTCTCCTCCAGACAGCGACTGAACTTGACTTACTTGCATAGCCAGTGTGGAAAATCGGCCAACGTCGGGACTCACGCCCTACGACCTCCCGGTCAGCATCAGCGACAATACTGTCTCTAGGCTTAACTCAGCCTGTTGAGCATTTGATGACTCACTCTGCATTACATTTTTTCGTATTCTCTATTAGAGCTCATTCCCGAAGTGTTACCGATGAGTTTTGATGCACTGCATATAAATCTGTTTCTGCAAGGTAAAGCAATCGTGCGAAGATAACGTATTGCAACAGAAAATTCAGGACACTGATGTTCTTGATTTAATTTCTTTCATTAATTGATTTTGATTAATGAAACCTACGATTACGTAAGCCGACCCCGTACGTAATCCGTTCTGTCAGCTGATGACTATCTATGATCTGTACCCTACTTTCAATTCTGTTACAGCGGTCAGTATCGCGGCCATTCTAGTACATTCCCATTCCGTGACTGTTGTCGGCAAATTCTTTTAATAGTATTTTAATCCACAAAGCTGTCGGTTGTTTTCTATTTGTTTTCTAAGTATATATATTGGTGTTCATCACAGCATGAATTTCTTACTTTCCTTCGGAAGTCAAGGTTACAGTTGAACTTGGCGCCGATATCCAATGCAACCCGCACAACCCTTTATAACTACAATTTTTTTAAATAAATAATCTCTACAATTTCAATTCTCAAAACTGAAATACATAATCCGTAAGAAGGGAGAAACCTAGAAGAACGTATATGCAAAATCTATGAGTCTCCAAATAAGCAGTGTTATACTCTCTTCTACCCCCCCCCCCCTGGTACCAATAACTAACATTTCAATGTTAGAATTCACAGGATGCAATACTTTTGAAAAATGTTTAAACATTGTAACGTCCATAACTCAAACCTGAAGTAAACAGAAAAAACATGAAATTAACTAACGGACAATTGTACTGCTGGGAGCACATTCTTGCTTGGTCCACGCATAATCAAAACGGAATCCGTCACATAATTACACCGGGGGCTCGAAGCAAATCTAAAAGGGTCGGAGAATATCAATTCGTAAGCAAATAGTTTAATGGTGATTTAAGAGCCACACAAAAAAGACAATAAAATATCGTTGGAACTATTATTGAAAATACTCTTGACACGAATGGGGAGATAGACCGGGTGATAGAGAACAAGAGAGAAAATGTAGAAGCGAGAGGGGACGAGAGGGAGAGCGAGAAGGGAAAGCGTGTGAGAGGGATAGAGAGAAAGAGATGTATTAAAGGAGAGCGCGAGTGAGAGGGACAAAGATATAGGAAAAGAGAGCGAGAGGGAGAAAGAGATGTAGGAAAAGAGAGCGAGATGTAGTGAGGGAGGGAGAGCGAGCCTGTAACATTGGTTTGTTGTGTCCCGCAGAGATCCGGCAGTCACGGCAGTCGCTGGCCGCCGTGTCGGACCACCTGTCGCGCGTCAGCTACACGGCCAGCCACCAGGCGCACCCGCACGCGCACCAGGCGGCGGCCGCGGCGGCGGCGGCGGCGCACCAGGGCGCGTCGCGACGCCAGCGCTCGCGGTCCCGCTCCCGCGACCACGGCGGCGGCGGCGGCGGCGGCGGCGGCCCCAGGCCGTCCAGCCGCTACAGCACCGCCGGCTCCACCAACACGCTCAACTACCTCGAGCCCACCGACTGGACCGACCACGACATGGACATCTACATGGCGCGCAACACCACCACGCGCGGCGGGCTCGTGCCGCTGTGAGGAGCCGCGCCCGGCACCCGACGAACAGAAGCCCGAAGCGGCCTCGGCACCGGTCGCGAGGCCGCCGAGCTCGATCGCCAACGCCTGCCGGGGCGCTGCAAGTGATTCGACCCAGGACCGGCACCCGCGGCCAGGCCCGCGCGGTCGACTCCACCTTTCTGTGTCTTTGAACGTCTGAACGTGCGCGTGAGAAGAAGTCGACGCAAAGCCACACTAAGGCAGCTGTGACACTCACTATATCTAAACCAACAATCAAATTAACTGAAGCGACCAAGCAGGATTACACTAAGGCGAAACTAAATTCTTTTCAAATGTATTTACTCCTGAGGTTCCTCAGAAAAAATGCAAAATGCATTTGATTTACATTTAAATGCCAGCATCATCGCCACCTAGGCATCCAATTCAGATAAGACACATCCAATACATATAAGATATTTTAAGGCCGATCCAACTTTACCAAACTAGTGGTCTGTTCCGAATGCCGGTATGCGAGTAAGCGGCTCCACCAAAGCGAGGGATGGCACAGTTTTAGAAAAAACAAATTATATATTGACGCTGCAGTACACTACAATTCAAACCCGGGATACAACAACTATTGTATAAACTATGCCGAAAAATCAAGAAAGTAAATGAGTGGTACATTCTCGTTTTCCTGTCTTGAAAGTACGTAACATGGGCAAACATGAATTATGACACCAATGTCTCCCGATTAAAAACGTATGAAGGTCAAGAGATTAATCAAAGGAAATCAATTTTTTTATAATATTTAATTAATACATATACAGTGCTCAGAACATTTCAGTTGATTTTACTGATTATTTCTTGATTAAAACTAGTCGCTTTTCGATGCATTGCAATTTATAGATAAGCGGAAATAAAACTGCCATCCCTCACTCAGGCTCAGCGCCAAGGAGTTGGGCTCGATCTTTGTGGTGCCGACCTACTAAGCAGCTCGACTCACGCCCGGATTTAGAGCTAAGCACCCAAGCCAGTGAACACAGCGCTCCCACGTATCGCAAAATCATTTGTAACCCAGTTTTATAGTAGATATGAACCAATTCGAGTTTGTGCTGTAGGACCTACACCATTCTGTGTATAATATAACGCAACGCTTTGACTGGATGAATAAATCATAATTTAAATCATCTGAATTAATTTTGTTCGTGAACGAAGAAATTAGGGTTATTGCAATACTGGGTGCATGCAGTATTTAGGGGTAAGCGCAAAATCATTAGATTCGATTAGTTGTCTAGGCGTATTTATTATATTTCACACCAAGCTTCATCGAACTAGAATAATTTTGACGCACTTATTGGTGCCTTGCTATATGTCCAGGAAACAGTATCGGGCATGGCTCGGCCCGGTGTTTGGAAATTAACAGCCGCTAAACGCTACTACCCCAACATCCAATTGGACAACTGCTTTCGTCTTGTAGCGGGGCAGCGGGTAGTGCCTCTAAATTCGAGTAGCATTTAAGGGAACTAATTCAACGTTGAAATAACTACGTGGTTATTATGGACCACCATTTTTTATTGGACGACAGATTTTTCTCTGCAGTCATGTCATTTCTCTTCGTAGGTATTCTTCTCCGCCAATTTTTATTCTCATGTAGGTCTTGGTCACTACTAATCTTCTTTTTTTTTTTTTTCGTTGAGTTGTAGGTGTTACTATATGTTCAGTAAGGTATAGCTGGAAAATAAGTACTTCTAAAGAGAACGATAGCTGAGCACGAAAATTACAGGACACCTAGAAACGGGATACATCGAAAAACACAACAGAATAAATACTGTATTGTCGCATTGTTAACACTCAAAGCTACCCGGTAAACCAATCACTATTACTTGTGGAGTTAACATGAAAGCGCTACTAGCTAATCGGACCAAACCGCAGAGCAATGGATTTTATGATCAAAACGATTTTTAGATCAGCGGACACTTGATGGAAATGAATGTTCACATGGTAAGATGAAAAGAAAAATAGGAGCCTGCAGACAATAATGTATTTATTTCAAAAAGTTTCAACTCTTTCACTCTTAAAAATGGTAACAACTGTTTATAAGCCTTTTTAATGCACGCTCATTATTAAAACGTACAAATAAAGGCTGAAGGAACTTAAAGTGCCTTGAATAGTTAGTCATTAAAGAGTAACCTAATGACAAAATTTGTGGCACATGCAATGTAATTGCAATTGGAACTGTCGACATGTCAGCAGTCTAGCTATAGATTTAGTTACTTCAGAACTTAAGGACTACAAGAGTAAGTGTGTTGTGAGACATCCTTCCAAACGGTTGTTTTTCTGTTTTCTATTAGAATCTTGTATAGATAATTTTTCAATGAATATGCAAGAAAGAGAAGTTGAACCCAAGAGTGCAACGCAGAAAGTGACTATTTTAAGAGCATAAACAGATGTACAGACACACAGATGTGTATACTTCCACTTGTACTGTATTTATGTACACAACTGTATATGTGTATTGTACCAATGAAAATAATATATTATTTAAGGAAATAAAATTGAATCATACAGTAATGAAATTTTCTTCTGGTGTGAACCCTTCTTCAAATGAACTATTCACAATAAATAGGTGGGTACTAAACTTCTGTTGTACTTAAACTAAGGATGGACAATTATGATAAAATAATGAATTAAAATCTAATCAATCAAGATACTACAGTCAAGATGAAAATGAAAGTTTTGGAGAATTGTTTAGAAACAGTAACACCAAAAACTATTATCTAATGAGGTACTCACATCAGAACAATTCTAGGAGAACTTGTAAATCTGTCTTCCACTTATCTCTTTTTGAATAATTAAAATTTCAGTAAAACAAAATCTCTATTATTTTTCTGTAGTTGGAGGGAGATAAACAGAACAAGAATTCTTTGATAAAGTTTGTGTTTAGAACCTAGAGATCTATTTTTATATTATCTTTGGTTTGATAATTAATGTTCGAATTAAAATAATCAAGCTAAAAAATCATAAAAATTATCAATGTATTGGTGTTAAAATAATTGATTTCAATTTTTGTATCAAAAAAATGATTGTTGTACAAACCACAATTAAATTGCCCATCCCAAATTTTAAACACAATTTTTCATTTTAGGTTCAAGTCTCTTTCCAAATCATCTCATGATTACAGTTCTCAATTGAATAACTTATTAGTTTACATAAATATATTATTAATCAACATATATGGATACCAACCTCACTTCAAGATGAAGTTGATCAAGGAAAAATTCAAATAATTGTTTGGGAAAGAGCTCTCAGGAGAAAGAAAAGACAATTTGAATGAACTGAAAGGCCCTGGAAGCAAAATCCCCTTTTTGAAATCATGAATACCTAAAAACCCTTTTATCAACAAAAAAAGGTCCGGATGAAATATTTCTAACATGGTTTCTCTGTACTACTTGCAGAAGAAAGTTGAAAACATTTCATTTCAGATTCTCTCACAAACATAATATCTAAAAATTTGTTTTTACTGGAACGTAGTTCTCTGAACTTTCTCACATGAACAGAGAATATACCGACAACTTCACTATTGGAAGCTAGAGATTTTTTATATTTCAATATTAAATTTATAAAATAATGACAATATTTATTTGCCTGGTATATAAATAGTTTTTTGCATAATTTTGAATCAAATGGTGTCAATTTCTCAAAAATACTTCAACAAGATTTTCCCCAAAAGTTTTCTTCGCTTTTTTTTTGCTCAAATAGGGTAAAAGTGCTTCTGATGTAGATTTAAATTTTCATTAAAACCTCTAATATGTCGAAAATGACTAATTTGATCTCTCTCACATTTACTTCTTTTGCTGTGTTTCAAGTGGCTTAAGAATTAATGACATACTAGTTGCAATATTCCATAGTGTATATTTCATAACTTAAAAATAATACTAAAGATATATATAATAATAATAAAAATGTGTGTTGTTGTAGCATCACCAGATTATTTAGTGCACGTATCTCTGATACATACTCACATCTCTCTAAAAAATAATCTGATATATGAAAAAGTAAACATTTGAAGTGGGAAAATTTACACTGAAATGAAAATATAAAATGTTCAAAATAATAATAGCCACTCAGGCCACACCATAGATTCAGAGCTCACCACAAAGATATTAGGTACCAGAAATTATAATATTATAATATAGGTAGGGGAGTATATTTGTTTACATATCTCTTCCTCTCCACGCTCATCATTTCTCTTTCTACTGCAGCATCCTTGCATACTGAAACCTTTCTGCTGTTTAACTTTTGTTTCTATTTACTTAACTTCGATGCATGAAGGTTAAAAAAAAGAATGATATTTATATTTCGTGACAGTGGCTCCCAGTCAATATTGAGTTGCAACACATGGAAAATGTTCTACTTTTGTTTATTTTCTTTCCACCAAGCTAGATCTTAATTCTTCCAACTTCAAAACACCTGTTTTTTCTCCCAACATACAAATATCCTCTTAAGAACAACAGCTTGTGACACTAATTTCAATTTTGTTGAGAAGATTTTGTTGAGAGCGGCAGCGATGGTGTGATGGTTAGCGTACCGGACTGTTATACCCAAGCTCGCGGGTTCAAACCCGATCGAAGCTGTGGATTTTTAGGGCGACAAAATCCTTCGTACGCCTTCCTTCAGAGGGGAAGTAAAGCCGGCTGTCCCATATTAGTAGATTTACTTGCATGTAAAAGATCCTCAAGCCTAAATGACGCCCCTGAGCTAAATTCAAAAATCGCCTGTTTCTCGCCCAAGAAATACCTCCTTTCTCTGCTTGTTGATGAAAGGAGTGTAGCGAAATTTGCGTGGTCAGACGGAAGAGCGGGCCTAATGGCCTGAGTCTCGCCACGTAAAATAAGGCAAATTCAATTCAACTCAATTCAAAGATTAATTAATACACAATATTAATAAAATTATTCTTGAATAAAAAAAAGTGCTACACATACTAGTGGATGTAATCTGGCATTGTCCATGAAGTAATATTTCACTATCTATTAGCCAAGAAAAGGAATGAATTCTGTCCATAGAATAAAATGGGAGTGATTGATGCCCCACTCTTCCCCTCTCTGCCATGGCCCCCCCACACTCGTCGCCAGTCATCCTTGCTGCACTCCTCTTCTTCAGAACAAATGTTTAACTTTGGCTTACAATTACTTGTAACCTAATGTGTTTTGGAATAAATCAAAATGCATTTAGTTGGAAATTTTATTGACTTTCAGAAAGTTCAGATACTTTTTTCAGCCAATTTTCTCACAGTTCTCAAGATAGTTGTGAAAAACTGAAAAAGCACTCACTGTAATACTGCTTCAATGAGTGGGAAAGGGGATAATGGAAAATTGACGTGTAGTAATGAGTGCAAATGACTTGTAGTAATCTCCCTCATTTTTGAAGTTCAAGAGAGCAAATTTTTCATTACAGTCTGAATGAGCTATAATTTGTATAAAGGATAACATTTCTTCTTTATAACACAAGATAACGAACTAAAAAACCAGTAACCTAAACCGATTCTGAGTAAAAAGGGTAATCAACAGGTCAGCACACAGAAAAAAACACTTATTTTAAATTAAAAGCAGACATTTCCAGTTTTATCAATACACATTTATCCTAACAATTCACAGCTGTACAATGCTACATTGGCAATACTTACCCTGGAATTAGAATGCCTTTGTCCCATCGGAAGAGCATCTCTCCACAGAATTCATACCATAGCTGGGCCGCAGCTCGAACAGCTCCCAATGTAGAGAGCACATGAGACATAACTATAGAGAGCCTCCACACAAGACTATCTACAGGAACAGTTTTCATGCTACCCATCTGAAATGTAAAATTGTAATTTACTTCAAGAATTTTCAATAGTGTGCTCTGCCAATCAATTGTTGATTTCAGGGATGCCTCATTGCTCCAAATCTTATACATGTATTAATACTAAAAAAAATAACCATTTTTAATTTCTTGTATATGTATGTAATGTGAGGTAAGAAAGCGAGCCAAGGCATGGCGTCCTAATAAAAATTGTGTTTATGTTCGTATCAAGCAGATCACTAGGAAACAAAAGGGGACAACATTTCCAGCATCTATTATGATAGTGGTGGTACACAATTTACATTTTCTTCTGTTACAAACTTTAGCTTGTGCCACCAAAATAATTTCTATTGCTAGCACTCTCACCAACAAGGTGCCTCTGCGGAGGGACTTTTTTGTGCACTATATACCTGTGTAATTAAAATAGTAAGGGTTTTCACTAAGAACGGGTTAAGAATCCAACACCATGACTATATTTTTATTGAATTTTATTTAATTTTATTTTTTTAATGAAAAATGTGATTTCGAAGAGTATTATCACTTGCTCTTATTGACAGGTTTCATAGTATAAACTTAAATTTTAATAAGAAAAAGAAATCTTTTTATAACCATACTTTCTCTTTTCCAGAAGTTTAAAGAAAAAAATTGAAGCAGTTTTTGACATTTAAAAAAAAATTACCTTCCCTTCAAGCAAACATATAAAAACTACACGAATTCTCTATGGAATGAGCAGAATAATACCTATATCTTACAACCAAATCAAGTTTGCTGTCAGCATAGTGTCTTCATGAAAAAGTCATCTAGCAAGATAACTATGAATATTTTTGAATTAAAAAACGAAAAAAATGTGTATTTTCCCTCCAAATATTAATACATTGTAATAGAACCAGGTAGGTACTCACCTCAAGTTGTTTTGTTTCTTCAGAATTGCCCCATGTTTCAGGGTAAGGTTTCTGAAAAAAAGATGGTATGAAAAATCTGTGTCACTTTTGTATTTATAAATTTATCTTTCTCTTCATTCATAAGGACTATATATTATTCAAACTTCCTCAAAAAATTTATATTGAAATATGCAGTAAAAGGAAATCATCTTATAAACAAAGAGTAATTACAAAATTATGCTTGAAAATATTCAGAAGTAAGAAGTTTGCCCTGCTTTAATTAGCTGATTACAATATTGGAGGATTTGGCTCCAGAGCCTGAGACCTAATAATAAAAAGGTTTTAAAATGACATGCCTCATGACAGAGTAAAGAATTCACCTTTTCCTAGCACAGAATCACAATATTTGCACTAAATGTGATAATATTAATGTAGCAAGAATAATATTAAAATTATAGATAATAATACAATTTTGTTTAAAAAAAAAAATCTTAAAAAAATGCGGTAAAGGACATTTACAGCCAATCCCTTCAATAGATTACACAGTCACTAGACAGCTCATGATGCAGCAGTTATACTGCGCACATTCCACCATTGGATTGGGAGTATGGCTCTTCTCTGAAGTATTAAGAATGATCTGTTTAACCACACTACATTACTTCTAATGATATATATTTAGCTCGTTCTTTTTTCTCAAATTAGGGAGTCCTCTAAATAGGATGTTTGGATGTAATATTATTATTTTATAATTTACGGATGTGTATTTCCTTTTACCACATTGCTGCAATAATAAAATCTCAGACAATACTGAATATGATTCCCACATTGCTAATTTTTGAATTTCCAGCGATTTGTAAAACTTTTATGTGTGAAATATGAAATACTGAAGATTACTAAGAAACTGAAGGAGACAAAAAGTAGTAGTTTCAACAACAATTTTCACAACTATGGTAATGTTTATGTTAGTTCAATGTTGCAATATCAATGACTTCGTCATTGGAAACAGTTTTGATGTCAATGAAATTTATACTTCTTTCATCTGGAACAGTACCCTCACAGAGAAATTGGAAAGAACCACAATCTACAGTTCTAAAATTGTAAAAACCATGGCAGCAAATTGCTCTTGCTCAGGCCTGATCAATCCGAAAAAGCAAGCCGTACTGAGGGGCGACAGTACAAATTAAAGAATGGAAGCGTGACTAAATTTACTCTCAAACGAGAGAACCACGGTAGCAAATTCCTCTTCCTCGGGACCCAAGCAGCCCAAAATAGCAAGCCGTACTGAAGGTGGGGAGTACAAATTAAAGAATGGAAGAGAGTCCTCTAAAATCTCTGGGTACCAATTGTGGTGCATGGCTGAAACTGTAATAGTGTCCTGAGTGGGCTACAAATGACAAAGTACGTTGTGATTTTTTAAGGATAAAGACATTGACATTTTTATTTCAATTAATATATTTTGCTTTATCTCTATATTAATAAAGTCAATAATTGTGGAGAAATTCTATTTAATTTTGACACCATCGAATACAGTGAACTTCTGATATAGTGAAACCAAAATGTTGGTGCCCAGAAGTTCACTATAACTGTAGTTGACTGTATATAGTATCTTTATTTTTATTTAAACAAAATTACAATAATTTAATGATAAATTTAATAACTGATGTTTTAATAAACTTTGTTTTGCTTCTAAAGTAATTAAGGATAAATAAATCACTTAACGATTTTGGTTTATAGTAAAAACATCTAATACAATTTAAAAGATCTGATTTAAATCGAATAAATCAGAGTTAAATTTTATTTTTCTGATTTTTTTTTATCATGATTTTTTCCAGCCTTATTGATTAGTGATCCTGGGCACATCAACTGCTAAGGCCATTAGTCCTAAAAGTGAAGAGCAAATTTTTACTGCGGGAGGTGGCGGTTATCTTCCCCACCTTAATCGTGAGATCTGGTGCTGACCTACGTCAGCTTGTGGAGATTTCCCCAACCAGGTATCTCCCACCAAAGGGGCACTGTCCCAGCCAGGACAAGCTCCAGTTTGGTCTCCTGGCGTGTGTGGTAGTGTAGGGCTCATAAGTGTAAGCATGTGTATAAGTAAGGGGTAAGAACAGGACAAGGATGAAAAAGGACAGATCGTGAGCGATCCATAGCTTGTTTGTTAGTGTACTCCTCCGGCATTCACCTGGTGTTGTTCAGAGGAACCACAGGAAACTACCAATCAGAGCAGGTGGCCCCTATAACTCTCCTCCAGAGACTGAATTTCACCTTGCTGTTCAAGTGTCAAAAATTCTGCCAACATTGGATCTCAAACCCTAGGACCTCCTAGACTGACGCACTGCAGTGACATCAGTTGATGCCCTAAGCCATCTTTGCCGGTTTAACTTGTAGGAAAATAAGCTAGTGATGTAAGAGCAAAGAAGTGAAACCAAGACTTATTTAGATTGATTGAAAAGGCTCTGTTTAAATCATAAATTCATTATTGAATAGGAGCAGTCACACAGTCTTTTTGAGTTCTACAGTAATTGGTTAATCAAAATTGTCAGAAGAAAGGATTTCATAACGATTCTCTGTATTTTCACATATTTATAAAAGTTGTGTAAGTGATCCAAGCTGGTAGTTATGAAGGCATAGAACATTTTTTTCTCAGAAAGGCTAACAAAGGCAGTGTGTGCATCAACAATTAAGGTAAATTTGCTTGAAATATATGATAACTTTGTACATTCCATTATTTCTTCCCTAGCATATAAAATTATCAAAGAAAATTAAATGGGTTTATCCACCAAAATACAGATTTTCTAACATACCTTCATAATCATGTATACACTTTTGATAGTCTTTTAACCTTGCAGCCGATTTAAAGGATAAGCTTTATCGGAAAAAATATTTTATATGACTGGATTATACTGGAAAAAATAATTTGAAAATTTCTCTTTATAAATGTTACTTCTGTTTATTACATCTTCTGATGCACTATGTTTAAAAAATTGGAAGCAAATATTAATTTGCCACTTAATGGATTAAAATGATTCGAAAGATGAACTTAAATATCCACAGAAAAAAATTAAATGAAAACCACAATTTTATTGAAAAATACTTGCAAAGAAGAACATTCTAAAATTTGTTATACTTCATTTTGCAGTCATGTTGTATATGTAAAAAACAAATACATATGAAAAAACATCGTAAAATAAATTCGAATGCAATAGCTCTTATACAGAACTCACAAAAAGATGATAATTTTTAGCTTATAAATAACAACAAAATATGTAATGAAATGAAAATCCAAGCTCTAGTGATAAAGACTAGTAGATTCTTAGCACATTTGCACAAGTATTAAGCATTACCTGGAATTTACAAACATTTAATTCCCACGTACAAGGGTCAAAGTAATTGGTCAACATTAGTGATGTTAAAAATGTAGACAAATACTTACAACACCACCATCAGCAGCATCAGGGAAAAGGAAATACAACATGTGCATTAAATGTTCATGACTTATTGCACCATCACGAACAACTGCTTTTGGTCTTGTTTTGTTTCTTTTCAAAACTTGTGATAAAGTAGGCACACGGGGTTCAGTAATAGCACTTAATGAAGTACTTATGTCTATTCCTGAAATAATATACACAGTACATTTATACTTCAACGGAGAGTTTTTCAACATAAAGGTACTTAAAACCAACTACATTTTCAAAAAAACAAACAAAATAAACAATAAACAAGAAGTGATCTTTTTACCTGAACTATCACATTCCATTAAGTCCCCTATCAAATCTTTCATGTTTCTCTTACAGTGACACAACTGAAGAAACTCTTCAAAATAATCACTCAACAGACAAGCTGGCTGATCGGCCATTCTTACTTGCACAGACCAATGGGGAGCTTTGGACGGCTCAAAATCAGAATAACTCTCACCATCAGTGACAGCTGAGTCAACCAGTTTGGGCCATGTCGCATACAAATATAATTCACTGAAATTCAAAATATCTGTTGTTTATACCATTGAACCATAATCTGCTCAAGAATTGGTCCCATTTGAATTACATGCAAGAGGATTAATCCACAAAATTAAACATTGAAGAAGTTCCTTCCCAATTCATGACAATATTATATTTAAAGCCAATCATCCCATTTATTTCTTACTATTTATTTATCAAAAGACATAAAATTCAGAGAGGCCATAACCGTAGTTCTTCAAAAAGAATCTGTATGCAACTATTAACAGTCTTCCTAGCACATGATTGATATTGAGAAAGAATGACTAAAATGGTGATGATTAAGACAACTGTGTTCAACAATGAGTTAAGAGCTGAGTAAAAGCCATATTTATATGCAGTAAAAATGTCTAGAAAATGATGTGTAATGCACATGAAATTCTTTAAAATAAGCAGTTTAAAATTTCCATGACATATTTTGTACTAAAAAGCAATGCAAACTCTTAAAACGTTGACTGTGGTCACCATTAGGTAGGTATTATGTCAGTATTAGTTGGCTAAAACATGAACAAAATGTATGATAAGAAACCTTGATTTGAAATAATTGTATTCTTCTGAAAATTTTATTTTCTCATTAAATAGAAATTAAATCAACCAATTAAAAATACTAATTAATTCCTTTCTTATTAGTTCATTCTGGCCAAATAATTTATGAGTGGAATGTTGGAGGTGAATAAACCCCAACAGATTTTGTTTGAAATTATAATAATATAAAGCTTCTGTTGACAATCGAATTTTCTTCCAGACTAAACATTCTTCCAAAGAGCAATACCACACCGCTTTTCTGTGGTTGAAAATTTTATGTTTACATCCATTGAAAACATTTAAAATTAAATGAAATCAATGTATATGTTGGTGATTGACAATGACAAGTTGTTACTTGAAATATGGAAACTACGAATTAGAATGTTCCCTAATTCCAAGACACAGTTGTATTTTAACTTCAAACAAATTTCTTTCTTTTTCCTCCTTCTGTTATTCCCTATTTTTCAACCTGTTCTAAACACAAAAAATTCATAAATTGTAATTTTAAAAAATTTAATTTTTTCCAATTTGCTTTCTTATTTTTTCAAAACTTTCATCTCTTATGCACAAATTTTCTAATATGTAAAATAAAATTTGGCAAAAAAGCTCTAAATATGGTTATTTGTAAAGAAATTTGATCATTTTTTAAGTAACATTTAGCATAAAAATGCACATCAGCATGTAAATATAGGCTGTATTAATGAGAAATGAAAAGGGAGCTTTAGTCACCCAATTTACTTTTTCCTTTCATTTATTAATTATAATAAAGAATAATTGATATAGTAAAGGTTCCAATTTTACCCAGTGAGTTCCACCAACAATACCCACCACGTCTTTGGCTGTCCTGCAGCATTTATTTTTGTTTATTCAAAAGATTAGTCCATGTTTACCTGACAGGATCAGATGTGGCACCAAATGGAAGTCTTCCAAGTTCTGTGACTCCAATAGTTTCTCCCTGGAGAAATTCAAAATCTGGTGGTTGTTGAGTCCACTTGTAACTGGTCCAGTCACGGAGAATATAGGTAAATTGAACCGAGAGCAAGATTTGTTCTAGGGAAAGAGGGCTGGCTATCTTTGTTTTGAATACATCAAGAAGACCTACAAGATTAAAAAATATGATTATAAATACACTAGGGAGCAATTTTTATTAAATTATTGAACAATTTTTCTGAAAAAGTTATATAAAATTACCAGGAAGGTATCGACAATGCTGTGGTGCACGTTTCAAGTACACCATCTCAAAATCAACTCTTACTTCCTTCCCATCACAAACTCCCATATAAAATTGGTCAGAAGCTCTATGAATTTGAATGAAAATTGGTACAGAGCTGAAAATATAAAATAAAAAACAAATATTTACAAAAAAGAATCTATATATACATACAATAATAAGAACTGGTGACCAATTGGTGACTTACAAAGTGGATTTGCAATTAACAAGTCTGTTAAGTCTGTCACCTATTTGATTCATTGCCAAGTGCATATGGGTTTGATTTGAGGTTCTACTCTTCCTACTATAGGTAAACGATACGCCATTGACAATTCGAAAGGGAAGAACAGTTGTCTTTGCAGATGATACGTAGTTAAGTATTTACAATAAAGGAACAGTAGATAGTACAATATCAAACGTTTCAAATTGGTGTTGTAAAAATAAATTAACCCTTATCTTGACAAGTCAAGAAACACTTAAAGAAATTCATGTTTTCTTATCTTATAGGTTATATAGAATTTTTATAAGATTTTTGAAAGAGTCTGATCGTCTCTAACAGCCACCAATTGTGTAATCTGTGTTTGTGACATAAATATTACAGTGGTAAATCTGGTTAAAACTATGTAACAGATAAGTTTCATTGAAAAGTACTATATGAAGAAAAAAGAAGCCAGTTAATATATCATCCAACTTCAATTGTGGCAAGAAAAAAGTATCCACTCTTCTTGTGCCAATATTTTTTATATTTGCCCTTTCATTACCGTTTTGTCTTGGCGAAATTAGCTGGCGATGTAACTGCAACCACATGCAAATCTCTTTCTAATTAATGGATTTCAGAATAGGTTGATGAATCAATTTGAGGGGTGTCCAGAATATCGCTAATGCCAGACAATATCAAAAATTCCTCCAAATTTGGCAAAGCCTCTCACAATTATTTGTAGGAGGCAGATCAAAATTATTCGGAGTAGAGACATTTTGAGTTTTTGCCCAGAATTTTTGTCAGAAGATGGGGTTTGGGAAGATGGGATTGAATTGTGTAAATTGGATACTTTTTTTATTTCTGTGTTAATTTTTCTTTCTGAATAAGTATGTACATTTCTTTTGTAAATAATAAGCATTTTTCATTTCAACATAATTTACATGTTTCTGGAGTGTTTCTATGCTTCTGCTAGGCAAATTTGTGTCTAGAAATCATTTTTCAAACCAGATTTTGTGTGCTTATTGCAGCCCAGATATTCGGAATATCCAAGTAGTTTATTAGACGAAATATGCTTAAAATTGTCTTAACAGCTTATTTTCGAATCTTCATAATTTCCTCCCTGCATACCTGTATTATTAATATAATTTACATTAATAATACATTAATATTATTAATGTAAATATATTCCTCTTATTGCAGTGGATTTGGCAATGTAAAGCATGGGTTACAAATGTTTAGAGCCCTGTAAAAATTTACATAAATCTTGCAGAGCATGAAACAATTTAAAAGTATCTAAAAGATACATGTATGTACTATTTCCGCAATGTGAAGATTTAATTGTAGCTAAATGAAAAAGAACGAAACATGTTGCAGTGACATGCTGACTCCAGAAAACAAGAAATTGCATATGTATGAATTCAAAAGCTCAAGGCAGATGTTCTTGAAGTGTTGAACGGTACTTTGCAACATATATCAGTTGCTTGGATTATGAAGTATACAAAACCCTCAGCATTTTACTCCAACTGTCTCACATGGATTATTGGGAGCTTCATAAGATAGTGTAACAGACTTGTTACAGTGTCAAGATAAGGGTTAATAGTAAATGACTAGTCATATTCATCAGGTGTCAATATCATCAACAACTGAATATACTCCCCAAAGTACAGCACACACAGTTTGAACTGTTTTTGACATCAAATAAATAAATTAACAATGTAACTGAAATAAGTTGAGAGATATTGTTCAGATTTCAAAAGAGCTGTGTAAGTAAAGATAATATTTATACAAGCAATATTGTAAGTATGTTTCTTGATCAATTTTCAATTGTAAAATGTTTTAGGGTCCCCAAAAAATAATTTTCCTTTTTATGAAACTCCTCAATTTTAACCTCAAAATACATTACCCAATCTCACTAATTTTCTATTTTGTAATTTTGTTTTTGAAAGAATTATGCAATTACAATGAAATAAAACAGAGTCAAATATGATTTTAAAATGCACAAGGGTGCACAAAATGCTCTCTAGTGCAGCCTGCTTTAACTTACAAATACATGAATTTACATAAATATCAAATGAACTATTTTATCTGTCTATACTACTCTACTCTTGACACACAGTTTCTTCATATTTTCTTCTCCTTAATACATTATCTTTTACTGTAGAGCACACAAGCATTTTTATTTTGGATCAAACCAAAAGTAAATATTAAATTATTGATTTAACTCACACTAATTCCTCACACATAAAATATTGAAAAGTGAAATAGAAGAGAATTATACAAGTGTGTAAGATGATTTCATGACATTTTAAAGCATACAATTGTAACAATTTTGACTGTTGTTTCTTTTTTTGAATTAGGATCTGTTAAAATATATACTCATGTATGGTATTCCAGTGATCATTAGCTGCGCTAGTATTACAAAAAGGTACGTGTCAAATGTGCTCCCTTGTCTTGGATATGACCCCAACGTACACTTGCATGTGTGTTCACAAAAATCACCATCGGATACATATGATCATTCCAGATTCATTCAGAAAGGAACATATTTAACATAAAATTTACATACCAATTAGTGTTATTCACTGCAATGTATAGAGAACTCAAAAGAAGTTTGACACGAGTCTCCGAAGATATGACAGCATCATGGTTAGGGGCAATAATTACAAAATCCCTCAAACCATACCAAACAGCAAGAGGGTGTGGATGTTGTCCAACATTTCCCATACTTGATAACCACATTTTTTGGGGAAGAAAATCATTTTCAAAGCACATAATATCCTCTAAAGCTTGAACTTTATCTTCATCACCAGTTTCATCTTCTAATGGGCTTGTGACACCAGCACCAGGATCTTTCAAAATGTATCTAGTGATAGTAAAATTAACTTCTGAAAACATAATTAATTAAAGCTAATGAAAATAGTAGATACATGTATAAGTTCATAATAAGGAGTAGGGAATAAAGATAGCAATGTATCAATGCTTTTTTAAAATATCTTCACCTGCAAATGATAGTTTTTCTTTTTTTGTTTTTTTGTCCCATACAGCTTTTTCAATATCACCTCTTTTCAGGGGCGAAACACGTTTTGATTGAGGCAATTTCCATTCAAAGATAACTTCTTCCAAGCTTTTAATGAAAGATTCCCATATTGAAGCAACAGTAAAGTCGACATGATGAAAATCATTTTCCACATCTTCACTCATTTTTGAAACTGTGTCCACAGCAAATAACGCATGAAATCACTTTCATTTAATATCAAGACACCAGGTCATCATCTGTCAAATTTCATAACATTTTGGTTTGAACCAGGTATGACAGAAATAATGTGCAATGGTTCTACGAACGAGTCATTGTCGAAAGAGAACCGTTCATGTTCAGCAGATTAGGATCTTGTTTCTCGCGCTCAATTTGAAACTTTTTAGACAAAAGCATTACTAGTAAGGTTTATATAATTACATGTTTGTAGGGCGAGGTAGGGAAGAATATCCTCTACACTGCATTCAATCACTGTATGAATTAACTTAGATAATATTTTAACTATAATGAAAAGGATATGTTCTCTAGGAATTGTGAAATGGAGAGTATGTTGGGAAGAAACACAATAGTAATAAACCCACTCCGTGTGTTGCTTAAGCGAAAACGGTTTTTATTTCACTCAAGAACACTTCGTCGCCCCATCTTGAAGTGATTTCACGCCAAAAAGTTAACTCTTCTCAGAATTACACCAACTAGTTAACTGACGCAGAACGTAGGGTTGACATGTGGCTATTATACATGACAATTGCACCATCAGTTGCCTTACTACGCGGCGCTAATGATGTCAGCAGAGAAGGCAACTACGCGATTGAGGGGGTTTTCTATTCCGAGGGCGAACCAGATTCGCTTCACACTCAAAGAGTTACCGTCCCTGCATTCTTTGTGAAAGCAGGTAGCGACACACAAGGCTTTCACACCCTCCCCCGCGAAATTATTTTGTAAAATAAGAATATAAATACAAATAATTTGAAAGTTGGACAGTAAGAAAGACTGCTGCGTTGATTAATGGAAACTGGATTAACAGTCTTCTGTTGATTAATTGGAAAGCCTTCCCCGTCTACCTTGAAAAACTGCCCGTCGCTAGAATGCCTGTACTAGAGTATACTCACAGTCGATTAATGCTTAATTAGAATAAGCTCGTACTTATAGTTACCGCTGGATCGTTGCTCCCAATAATTGTTAAATAGATTTTTACATTAATTCGTTGATAGTATACAAAAATAATTTACATACAATTTTGTTAATGCGTAGGTTGTATTATTGGTTATTTTTCGCATTAATTTTGATTACATGTATTTATTATATAAAAATGAGAGTACGTGTGTTTCTGTGCGGCACACAAACTTTAGAAGCACTTCACTGCACTGAAATAATTGCTCCCAAATTTGGCACGAAACTATAGTCATGATGGACCCCAGCGCAGTTTCCCTCCCTAACTTTTTTTAGGTAAGGAGCATAGTGGAAAGATAGGTAAGGAGTTACTGGAGTACTGAGGCATAACCGAGTTCTCGGTCATGTCAAGGAAAGGTGGAGCTCTGTATTATACCAGGCGACCTCGTGGTACCAAAAGGCCACCCCGTGATTGTCATTGAAGTCGCGGGCGTGGTGGCGTACAATAGCAGACTGCGTGAAGTGTGCGAGTTCAAAACAAAAGTTTATTTTTTGCTGATAAGTTATAGCTTGTCATTTGATACGGAGTTCGATATACGCTGCATAACTTACCTGGATCGAGAGGAGGGAAATATGAAAAACGGTTGAATAATGCTTCATGTTCCTTACGGAGGGAATTAAGAGAGGGAATTATAAAAGGGAATTATGGGAGAAATAGGATAAGAGTCGATTTAAGAGTTAATTAGTAAATAAGTATATCGGAATAAATAAAATTGGGTAAAAAATAAAATTATGTATGTACCACGGGCATTAAATGGTTCTAATAACCTCAGGCGACAAAACGTCCTCGGGCCATAGGCCTTCGGCCACACGCTCATTAGAACCCTTATAACGCCCTTGGTGCATCAATAACTATTAAGTATTACTCGCGCAACTTTTCTTGAACGATGACCTTGATCCCCCTCCCTTGTGCAATTAACAGTTGAAGGCAAAAGCTCGCAGCGGGCACTGATGACAACCTTCCAAGCATTAAAATTTCGTTGGCGCGAAACAGAAACTAGTCAAAGCCAGTTGCTTTCATAGTGCAGAACCCCTGTTCAGATTTATGGTCAATATCGAAAGAAATAGCTGAGTCAGGTCCAGGTCCTTCAAGGGAGTCACCTAAAACTCCCGAAAAAGTTAAGCACAAGATGCAGTTCTGACTTTCATTTTACAGAAGTTGGCATTACTTTAAATGCTCTAGTGGCAGACTTTGTAACTAATACCCCCACTCCACCCGAAATCGTCAATCCATCGTTCAAGAAAAGTTGCCCGAGTAATACCAACGCACGGAGCTCCTTGGCCTAAAATACCGGTTGGTCGAATTCCTCCCTAGGCTTTCGGATAGTGGTGTGAGGAGATTGGCGCTTCCCTCAAGAAATTTACAATAGCACCCTTATCATACTCTCGGCCCTAAGCAAGTGAGATAAAATCAAGAGCGCTCAAAGGGAGCCCTTCCATAGAATTGAGCGCTCTTGGCCCTGAGTAACCTTTGCTTGTGTTCAATGGGCTCTTATTGGTTAAAAAATTACGATTAATCATATCACATCAGATGGTTTAATTTCTCAAAAACTAAAAATATCACAGACAATATCTCTACGACATTTTATTTGCCCTGAATTCCGCATCGTTGAGCGAAAACTGTATTTTGATATCATGAACTTTTTAGAAGTTTGGAGCTGGATCCAGGGGATCCTGGATCATTGGGGGCGGGGGCATCGTAGATATTGTATATGATGTATATACGTAGATATAATGCTATATAATATTGTTTCAATAATTACATAATCCGAACATAAAAAATATTTAAACAATTTTGCCAAACAAAGGAAAGTGAATGCAAACTCTATGTCTTGGGGGGAGGGACATGGCCACCTCCTGGATCCGCCAGTGTGTGGCCCATAGTTGGACTAATTATAGTAGGGGAAACTGTCTTAGGGACACTTTTCATGTTTTAATTTGTTTTTCTTTTCTTTTGAATACGACGTTAATGTTCCTATTTTGGGATGCTACACATCTCAGCATGTTTATGTGTAACATAAATAATTTTTAAGAACATTCTATAACGTTCTTTTTGAGCCAATTTGTTTGGATGCTATGTGTCCCTAGGGATATATATTCTCTGCCTAGGGACATCGTACCAATGTACTTGGGGACACACAATTACGTACCTGATGATACAGAAGAATCCGCTTAAGAATGAGCCAAAATGACAGTTGGCTAAACAAGTGAACATCACTTGTGATTTAGAGAAGAGGGAGTTTGTGCCATAGAGGAGAGATACAACTCTACTCTATGGTTTGTGCTACCTGGAACGTTATAGTATTATCGAACTTCTGATCATGCGCAGTTCAGGTTTCGCACAATTTAGTGCATCTCCGCATGCGCAGAAGATCGATATTTCTGACGCTAAGGCTAGCACAAACTCCCCGTATTCCACAGAAATCGAGAGGAAAGAATCGATTTCGAAATCGAAGTAACAAAACAACAGCTGTTCATGTGTGCTAATGAAGCAAAAGTGACCGCTATGGACCGCAATTTCTACTATGGCAATAATGCATTCGTGAAAGACAATTGGAGAAATAATTAATTCAAAATTAGAGACTTTTGCATAGCATGAAGCACCTTTTAGCGTATATCACTTTTGAATGCAGTCAAAAAGTTTACGCCAAAAAGCCTCTAGTACTTGAACATACACAAAACATGGATATTTCTTGGGTACTTGAACAGCTGAGCAGTGATGTAATCGGGCTTTATGTGCCAATGACCTTTGATTTTGCTATTATGAATTATAGTATATGCAGCCTCAGTATGAGTTGCTATCGTCTCCTGCGTGATCTTTGGGACACTCTAGAGCCGCTGATTAATTTGAATATTTTTTTATGTATACAGAGGTGATTATCCTTTCACAAAACTCAGTATGAGTGGAATCAGTGCATGGTCGAAAATATTTTATGGAAAAAACGGACCGCTTGAAGCTGCTATGAAATCATGTTTCTTAATTCGAAGTTTATCGTCATCCCGCCCGTGTAATTCGTATGTAGGTGATATTCGTCTGCAAATGACTCTAAAAAGAAGCAAAAGTAATGAGCATTTGCCCTATAAAGATGGGCGATTTTTGGTTATTGACCTTACCAAAAGTAAAGTACTTCTTTCTGCAAAACCCCAGGATCGTTTTGGAAGAAAATCTTTGTCTTGGATTCATTATGAAGGTATTAATTCAAATATTGGGATTTATTTCCATAGGGATAAATGTATTATATTCCTCCTTGGTACTGATTTAAAGGTCCAAATAATATTAAGTTTGACTGAAGTAATGCCAGTGAAATGTACTACTAATTTTCAGATCTGAACAAAATTGGAGTGAACATCAAAGAAAATGCGCATTTTCTCTGTGTTACTCATGGAGAACCTAATTTTGTAGTTAATGTTTCAAAATTGTCAGAAGAGTCAAAAAACACTCTAGAATCTAAAGCTAATGCAAAATTCATTGCTTTACGTTCATCCCTTTTCAGTCTCGATGGTAGCATTGACATGCCTTTGGTTTCTCAGGTGAGATTCATACTTAGATGAGATTCACCATATCATCAACAACCACTATGATAATATGTGAAATTTTATGTTAGTAGAGCCATTCGCTATTGGATTGGAAGTTAAAACACAAATTTTGTGTGTACTGTGGGAATGCCCTAGAAGATGGATTAATTGATTTTCACAAAAGGTGCACTGGATGTAAAACTGTTCATTACCCTACTGTAAATCCTATTGGTATATCCTTAATTTGTAATGAACAGTGCAGCAAAATTCTCCTCGTAAGGCAACCTATACATCCTCCTAGAATGTTTACATGTGTTGCTGGTTTTATTGAATCAGGTGAGAAAAGGTATATCTAAGTAATTTGCAAGAAGTTTTGAAAATAATTATATTTATCCCATAGCTTTTTGCTGTAGGTGAAACTATAGAAGAAAATATCAAACGTGAAGTTGCTGAGGAATTGGGTTTGGAAGCAAAGAGCATTCAATACGTTGGATCCCAACACTGGTCACTGCCAGGCAGTAAGCTCATGATAGGATGCTTTGCAACGGTTACTGATGAGAATGTACGTTACTTGCCCAGTACCCGTTACTATACAGTTATAACAATTATTTATTGTGTTCCATTCATTTTATAGTTTTCCATCGATTCAGAGGAACTGGAGGAGGCGTGTTGGTTCAGCCCTAAGGAAATTCACAATGCTCTTAAGAGAGTGACTGAAAAGAAAGAAAAAGTATTGGACAACCCAGAGGATATATGGATTCCACCCCCTGGGGCAATTGCTCATTCTTTAATAAAGTTGTGGTTGCAAAAGCATGGTTGAAAATGGCTTTATTTTCACAAACTTGAAGTACCTTAAATGATACAAACACTTGTCAAAGATGAGAATGAAGTATTGTGTCCCTGAGTTATTAGGTACAATTAATAGATTTTCAATTTTAGAATTGAACTCTTGTATTTCCTGAGGGGCTCCCTTGAGACCTTGCCACACCCATCAAAAGGACAGATAATAGATTGTGAACCTTGTTCAGTTATTAATTTTCAATATGTGATTTAATACTGCATTACTTTGTCAAAATAGGGTGACTGTTCTCATTTTATAACTGATTTCTAATTAAGCTAACAGAACAAATGGCTTTTGTGAGGTATTGAAGCAGTAAGTCCATTAAAACTATGAGAGAATTTGAGTTTGTTTTCAACAAATGGTACGTACAAAATAAAGTTAAGCAAGACATCATTAGAACAAATGATACTTGTCAATGTACTATCTCTAGTCCTGTCAGAAATATCTTTAAAGAGTTTAGAGTACTGACTCCTATCCACCTAGAGATAACTAATTAATATCTATTCTTCAATTATAATTTGTGGTTTGGAGACAAATCTTAACTAATCACATACTTCGAAAACCACATAAAGTTTAATAGATTCTCCAGTACTCCAAGACAATATAAGACAATCAGCAGTTCTACATCTGAATGATCTTTACTGACCAAATGCCAATGCATTGAAAGCAGTGACACTGATATTTCGACCATCTTATCGTGGTCTACGGGGCCAAAGTGTCAGATCAGGAAGAAAAGACCATAGTGGTTCTCAATAGCACTTTAGCCCTGAAGAAGGTCATGATAAGATGGTTGAAACCAGAGTATATATGATGGTTGAAACCTTGGAATCACAATCTTTGTTGCAGTGGCACCTGGACAGCAAGATCATTCACATGACTTGGAGGGGTTACAACAGCAGAACTACATGTTTCTTTCTAACAGCAACGTATTTTCTAAATCTCCTTTAAAATATTAAATCAAACCAATAATTTTTTGCAAAAGCCATTTGAATGTGTTGACCTTATCAGCTTTCACCTTATCAGAAAATAACTACATAAATGTGTACTAACACATAATTGTGAAGTAGGTGTAATGTGTTTGGTTTAAGAATAGATAAAATAAATAAAAATTTTCCAGACTTGTAAACTTTCCCTCGTATTTGGATCAATGACACAGTGCCTGTTTCTATTTTTTTAGTAAGTGGCCACCCTGTAAAATGTCAAAATCTTCCCAATGGGATTAAAACATACATAACCCATTCATCAAACATTGAATTAATGTTACAATCCATGTATCAAATAGTGAAATAATGTTTTGTATTTATTCAAATATTCGGCTCATGATTGTTTGTTACATCCTTTTGATGCTGAAATGGCAATGCTGCACGTTCATTTTGAATTGTTCGCATGAAAGGGACATGCTTTCTTGCCAAACAGGCAATAATCACAATAAATGGTAACCGAATATCAAACAAATTTTAAAACAATAATTTCATTTCACATTTATTGAATTGGATTAATTTTAGTTTTGCAGTAGATTTCTAAAGGATTTCAATATTGCCCTAAGGAAGTTCAGATTTTTAAAAATATGTAAAAAATATTGAAAAAATGATCATAGTTTTGACCATTTAAAAAACAGAAAACCCTACAATTTTGCGACTCCCTCCTCTCCTCTCTTCAGGAAGGTACACCTCAGTATGTAAACTTAGCCAGAATTGAATATAAAGATAAACCTGGATACTGGGCAAATCTAGCAAGGACCACACAAAACTGCCATGCCTTGCATTGCAAATATCACACATTGATTAGATTGATTGCATTATATCCTATGGAGTAATCTCTTCACAAACCTAAAAATTGTTATAAAGTAATTATTATTTACCTCATTATTTACATTCTATTTGTAACGGTCACCTACTGGCATGGAAATTTTACTTTAGTAGTTTCTATTAAACATTACACATAGTAATGTTTTATAATAAAAATATGAATTTAACATCCACAAGAGTGCAGGCAGTTTGTTTCTCCTCCCCCCCCTCCCCGTATCACTGAATTCTGCTAATGACAAGATGATGCATTTTCATGGTGGGTTCCACTCAGTAAATAGTAAGTCACTGAAATTGGGTATTTATTTAGTAAAACATGATTCACTGACATTCTGTGGTTCATAGACCTTTAGGTGCATAATTACATTCAGACTTTTACAAGCCATAATATCCTAATTACCTTGGAAATAGATTCTGACAGCTTTGAGATAATGATTCATCCCTAAGAATCAATAATACAGCATTATCAGAATACCATTTTGAATATTTAATGAATAAAAACAAACTTTTGTAATTAAAATAAGAAACTACAATTCACTGCCATAGTTGATATGGTTACATTTTTGGCACTAGAGAAAATAACACAACTGAATGACATTTTAATCTAGAAATTTGCAGATTTTTAATTGTTCTAATGTGCTATTTTGTTCCAGTCTGTTTTAAATGTTAAGACAGGTTAAGAAAAAATGAATTCAAAGCCAAAAGTTCTTTTGTAACGAATATTTAATACATTTTCTTGGCCTGCATTCAATAAATTTCATTAGTTACATATATTTCAATACAATAACTGTGTTTCCATTACACATCCATCATACCAACAAGGATATTAAGAAAAATAGCCAAATATTATTTCAACGGCTTTTCTCAATCTCTTGAATATATTTGTAAACAGAAGAAAAATCCTTGTTGCCAAAGCCGTGAGCACTCATAATACGGTATGTCTGATGAGCAAGAGAGCCCAACATAACAGGTGTTTGAGTTCTAGTAGCTGCATCTTGAGCAAGGCCAAGGTCCTTCACCATGAGATTTGTCCCGAAGCCACCCTACAAAAGTAAACATTCAAGTGATTTTTTAAAAAATTGATTGAGTTGAGCCCTTGGTGTAAATACATAGGTGAGCATTCCACATTTAGAATATGGAGAAAAGAAAGGTACCAGCTGATGACATAGGCAAAGTTAAATGACATTACACCAACAGTATTAAATAAAAAAAATACTGTTTATAATTCTGAAATTCGCTACTAGGCTTAAAAGAAAATTCATGGATGAACACATAAGGTACACACTATGTGCTTTTCGCATTTGGTAAGCTTATTCAGGACAAGGGTGGGCAATTGAGAGTATCATGGGTTGTGAAACCAAACACACTCAAGAAATGTGTATGTAATAATTGTCTTATGGTACCAGTGTCCAGTCTTATAGCCATGCCTACTACAAATGACTTTGAGAGGTTGGCCATTGTGATACAAATGATCAGGAAATGAGGGAATGACAAGAAAACTTGCTAAATGCCTTCTTTGCCCACTGCAAGTTCCACATGGATTGACAGAGATTTGAACCCTGGAACACAGAGGTGAGGAAACTATCAACTTACTTTAGGCTGTCCCAATGTCTACATTAAAGGGATTTTCTTATTATTGACAGTTTACGTTATATGTGATCGGCTTTGGTGATATGCCAAGATAACTGTCAATCACAGTGCTTATAGAAATGAGAAATCTAGCAATGAAATACTTCAATTCGTTATTTTGTATGTTTTAATCACATACACTCTAAATAAGAGATTTGAAACATACCTCATAATTATTTGCACTTGGTACATTTTCCATGGTTCCAGGGACAGGATTATACATTTCAGATGACCAGCAACGACCTGTACTACTGTTGAAAATTTCTGCTAATAGTTTGGGTTGGAGACCTAGCCTAAACACAATAATAACAGTAAATAATTTTCTAAACAATGGTTGGTGAGAGAAGGGATACAATAGTAGAGGGAGTGAAAGCATTACACATCTGCAAAAAGTGAAAACTCAGGTTGTCTCTCTAAAATGATTGAGTGTAACTGGATCAGGAGAGATGATTTTCAGAATCTGAATTCTTGGAGAACCTACTCTTCTGAGTAGCCTTCTCTGAAAAGAAATATTAATAATAGAGGATAAATGTTAAAAGCAATATGAAGTACATGGTTCAGAAAACATGGAAAGGATAAGGGAGTTTTCTTTTCACTTTAACAGTCTGACTTGCAGCTTGTGTTTCCTAAGAAGATATAATATCATCAAATCAGCAACTGATATCTGATCAACACCCTTGGTTTATAATTAACTTTTCTATCCTGCTAATGGGTAATGAAGCAGTATTCCTTCATGTACTGAAGTGTCCTTGTTAGCCTTCCTCAGCTCTTTGTGCCATTTCGCCGATAATTTAATGCTGTCAGTGATAGTTGTCGTTTGTCCATTCTCTTCATGCTTTCTCCATTCCCTTTGGGACTTTTTATTTTCCTCTGTTAAATTTCCTAATTTAAGTACTTTCTAATTTTTTTCTTTTCAAATTTTTCTGTTCTTGATACTCCTAAAACTACCCATTAAAACTTCAACTGAGCTGCTTCCATGATTCTGGTTTACTTCGTTTCTATTATCAACATTTGAAAAGCAAACATTCAAAATGGGACATGTCCCCATCACTTTTTGCAATAAAAATGAAAAATATGACACAAATTTTACACTTTTGAACACGTCTAACTTGGAGAATAAAGTTCTACTTAATGTATTGTAAGACAACTCATGTGTTTTTCCTTGAAATAAAATTCTAGGTAAAAACAACAAGAATTCAATTTTTGCCAAATGAACATATCACCTTTTGAATGTTTGCTCCTCATTTCTGCACTATGCCCTAATATTGATTTTGATGTAATGTTAGAAATTCTCATATTATTTTTTCTCTCACATTTTCAAAATCTCTTTTATTATTCTGTGGGGTTTCTATTATTTTTTTTTGCTGTTTTTTCCCCTTCCATATACTCCTGAATTCAATTGAATTTCCCTAGTATTTAAATGAGTAAATTCAATTTTCTGTAACTATTTTGACTCAAAGGTGTATACTATTTTTGTAGTGTATACATGATATAATAATGTTTCAAAAAAAATTCAATCATTCTAACATAAATAAAATTAATTTTGCCTAATAAAAGAAGATAAATGAAAACTCATGGCCTTTTGGGGGTTGGTGGGCATGGCTCCCATGCCCCGTCCCCCCCCCTGGATCAATCATTGGTTTCTTCAGAGTTTGTTATTATGACTTGGTGGTGATTTCTCTAAGCTTTGAACTGAAATAAATTACACCTACTGGCCTAGAATGAAAATCTCATATTGCAGACAGCACAAATTTTACACAAGGGAGGAAAACAACAAAAACAACTTTTTGGCACTGTAATTTGTAGAATACTTACAGGATCTTATTCTTTCTTTTTTTGCTTTGGAGCACAGAACATAGCCCACAACTCATTTGAAATAGGAAATGAATTTTAAGAACCAATTACTGTCAGTTCATTCTTCTTAAAATCTTTACATTTCGAACCCTATATATTTGAATTCTTCTTCAGGTACATATTTTTTCAGGAGTTCCCACTTTCCATCACCTTTTGTCAAAATTAACAAATATCTACAAAAGGCAACCCAATGGTTGTATGCACCCAACATTGACTTCATGGAAAATGTTGGATGAATTTCCATCCAACATTTGTTAATTTTGAAAGAAGGCGATGGAAATTGGGAACTCATAAATAAATATGTACCTGAAGAAGTATCCAAATATATAGGGTTTAAAAAAATAGGAAAGATCTTACGAAGAATAAACTATCTGCCAATAATTGGTTCTTAAAATTCAATATTAGATGTTTTTTTGCAAAATGCATTAGAATCTTTAAATGGATGAAATGCTCTATGAATTGTCTTTACCCCTGTTTTGACTTTTTTCCTCATCTCAAAAGTATAAATTGCACTTTAATTCAAGTTTTTGTATGATTCATTACAGTATTTAATAAAACAACATACCTAATGCCAAGATTCATAGCTTCTGCAGTGCCAATCATGCTAATGGCAAGTAGCATGTTGTTACATAATTTGGCAGCCTGTCCTGAACCTGAAGGTCCACAATACACAGCTCGAGCTCCCATGCAAGATAAAATTTCCTTAGCTGGCTCAAATTCGTCAGCCTGGCCTCCGACCATGAATGTGAGGCTTCCAGCTTTAGCTGCATTCACACCTAAGAAGAAAGTTGGCTAAAATTATGAGTAATGCTTGAAAATATTGTTTAGAGATTTTCTAACTTCCACTTGAACTGTAAATAAAAACTAATGTAATAAATGTAAATGAAGTCTCCAAGCTAATTCAATCTTGAAACATATTTACTGCATTACATTTAAAAGTAGAACAGACCCATTCCTCTTTATAACATTACACTCAACTTATCCCCCTTCCAAGAATGAAGAAATTTTTTACAATTTGGGATAATTTTCTTGTTTTTTGAAATCTCTGAGACTGCTTCCCCTCTTTTATCACAAACACAAATGAGTTTAAGTAACTACAGGCAATAATAGCTCCCATGGTAAATATGAATGAAATATACACCAAGTGAACCCCACTGTACACTACGTATGTTATCCTATAACATACATATTAATGCATTGTATTTTCAAACAGGTGAAGCAAATTATGAAGTATTTTGAGAGTAAAAGATTCAATATCAAACTTAATTCAATGCATATATTCTGTAATCAACAAAAATTTAAAAAACAACATGAGATGTTTCGCGAATATAAAGTACATGCTATTTGGGTGAATAGCAAAATCTTATATGAACCTACGACATTATATATTGTTATTCTTTCAAACTGAAAATATAACCCTTACGTTTATTTAAGAGCTAACACTTGTACAAAAGATTTAAGTTACATTATTAATTAAAAAACCCCTTGAAGTTTATTTAAAAAATTCAATTACTTCAAATGAACCTTTTTTGTTATTAAAATTGTGTCCAAAATAACTCTCATAAAATGTTCAAATACCATTTAAAATGAAAGATTTTAATGTTATAATATAACATAACAAAATTCCACAAATATAAGCTTTTATCACAAATTATTAAAAATACAAGATTACTCAGGAATTAAAATGTAATTACATTTACCTCCAGAAACTGGAGCATCAAGAAATACAGCTCCTTGATTTTTTGCTTGTGAAGATAATTGCTTCGGAACACTAGGATCAATTGTACTGCTGTCTATTAACAGTGTTCCAGCTTTAATACCCCTGAAAGAATATTAATTCTTGAAAGTTTATACTGAGAGGAAAAATATTTTTGATTACACACTAAATTTTCATATATCACTTACAAATCATATTCCACTACAGCAAGAAATTGGTAGTGCCTGGAGCACCATTAACATGTGTGTATATTCAAGTAAATAAATAGAGCATTCTAACAATAAAGTTTCCAATAACTGGTTTGCACCCTAAAGAGCAGTTTAATTTTTAGATGGGCAGGGGGTATGCATACCTGCACTTCTCCCTGTTTTTTCTTTAACTTTACAATAAATATACAAAATATAATGAATTTGTTTTACATATAAATTTAGTGAGAAGTCTACAATAAAATACAAAGCATAATTATTACTCGTTTGTAAAAAATATATTAAGCTATTTTAGAAGTAAATTTAGGCTTCCTCTGAATCAGATACAAGTGGTGATGGTGATTGGCAACAGCCAATCACATAGTAGATCACAGGCCGAAACAACTATTCAGAGCTTCAGTGTACATTGCTCAGAACCTTAAGTAGTAAGAGCAATAGGATAAATACTAGGAAGGGCCTGGTTTCAATTCCCAACCAAGGTGACAAATACTTTGAAAAAAATTTCTTTCTTGTTGAAAGAATTATGTCACAAGGGTTAATCAAAATGTTGCAAATATTTAAACACAGAATGGAAGGGAGAGAAAGAAAAAAAAATATGCCCTATCTGTGAAATGGTTTACTCGAGAATTCTAGCACAATTAGAATTTTGTTTCTAATTTAAAGTTTCCTTAGTTCAATGCAATTACTCTCTCTTCTCCTTGAGCTACAAGCAATACATTAATTAACAAGAGCAAACAGAACAAGAAAAACATTGAATTACAAATTTGATGAAAAACTGGGAAAAATTATCAACCAATGATGGCTGGTAATTATTTTAATCACAAAATATTTGAAAATGGATACTTACTGAAAAATCCCATTCTCCCCCTGATAAGTTTCCAAAACATGAGATGTATTAGGCAACATGGTGATTACACATTCCACATTTTTAGCAATATCTGCTGGATTTCGGAGTGCTATGGCCCCTTCTTCAACTAAATTTGCAACTGCCTGCGGATTTGTATCGAACACAGACAATCGATGGCCCTAAACATGCATACACAACACTCATATTCAATCTTCATTTTGTTGAGGAAACATTTTTTATTTCTAAATGTATAGAACAGAGATCCTCAAAAGATACCAATATAGAAGATGCTGCAAAGTAACATTATGCTTTTTACTTCTTTTAGATCTGAACAAATGTATTAGGTAAGATTCACATTGTCTACAGCTTAAAAGCTGCATTATTATGAAATAGGAGGAATCTTTTTGAAATTCATTACATACAGCTGTGTTAAATTAAAAATTCACGTTTATAGTGGGAAACATACCTTCACAATTAAATTTTTGGCCATAGAACCTCCCATGTTGCCTAATCCTATAAACCCAATTCTTGATGCAAATCTCTTAGCACCTAAAAAGTATTAAGTGAGATATCAAGCATATTTTGAGGTTATGATACATCAACATACTATTAAATTTCAATAATTTAATGTCTTAAAATCTAATAAAATTCATCTGGTAATTGTTTATTCTCTAAAATAAATACCATTGTAAATATGATGAACACATATAACTTGTTTGAAAACTTGTGTACTCAAGCCTGCCATTTTTTCAGGAAATGATGTTGCAAGAAAATTCTAAACAATACTTTTATATTGAAAAGTGAAAATTAAAAAAATGTTTGCAAAGTGAATAGTTCTAAAACATTTCAGTAGTAAAGAAAGATACAAAAAAGCATATTCTAAATGAAACTAAAGTTTTACATTTTCTTCACTAAACAACCTTGAACTGTGATACACATACTATAATGCAAAGTAGGCAAAAGTCACCTGACTAATACACCAATCACATAATTCTAGCCAATTAAACTCCAATTAATACAGAACACTCACACTACACCCAATAAAAATTTGAGATAATATAGTTAAAAGCATGAAATACAATATTATTTTTTAAATTTTCTAACCATATCTGTTGTATGATGTGATATAAAGGCCATAAAATAACCATGGTGAAAGAAGTATATTAATTTTTAAAATGAATCACATTCTAATATCCATATTTCTGATCATGTTTGTATATACTATTACTAATAACAATTATGTATCAAATAGAATTTGGAAACATTCATGAATCAGGACAACTGAGTGTTAAGACACTTCAATTTACAACACATTTTTCATCAATTTTAGAAATCTATAAAAGGCAATAAAGAAAATTTTCACCAATAAATATATCTAATAATGAAAGAGCCATCTACCTTTTGAGAAACACTTCTTTGGTCAGTCTTTTATACAAATATTTCCATTTCATTGTTTGTAGATTGTATATATCAAGAAAGGTCCAAGAACTATGTGATTCATCACCAAACACTCATTTTATCTTTAAACTCCTGAACACAAATGATAATTCAAAAATGCACCTACATTTGCCTGATTTATAGTCCCAAGAGAATTCAGATGTAAAATAAACACAAAACAATAATTATAATTTCAACAAGTAATTCTTTTTGGTTTTGAAAAGCAGTATTTACTAATTTCGGTGTCAGACGTTTGCAATTCATATACATTTTGTTATAAACAACTATTTCTGTTTCTATTTTTTTAAATCTTGAATGTTTCCTAATTCAATAGTGTAAAAGAGCACTCAAACATCGATTGTTTCAATTGACGTACATTAAGTGTCCAAATTGAAACCCATCTAACAAAATTCCAACTGTTCCCATCTATATCATTTATCTCTATAGAAAACTATCAACTTAAATGACTTTTTGCATTATTTCTTCAGGGACACTTAAAAGTCACGTTTACATGTGGCAGCTAATCTTGCAATTGTGATTTTTTAAGTTTGTAGAGCCCACAATCATGAAATCAGCTACAAGGGCAGGCTCAATTAGAGGAATAATCTCGATACCTTCTACCAGTGATGGTCAACTAGACTCGCTTGTGTGTTGACAATACATGTACAAGCAGCTCCACAAAAGCAGCATTCAGCAAATTTTAAGTAGTGTGGACAGGTTGCTTGAATTTCCGTGAGTGCCGAACATTCAGTATTCACCCTACCCATAGCGTGTCTGTTTTTATAACACATTAAAGGGAGCGAACATTTGCCAAACACATCAGCTGTTCTGGATTGGGCAAGCAGCATCTCACTGCTCAGCATATGCCGAATGTTTGGAGCAATAAGGAGGTGGCCATAAAACACCCACAGTGACATGAGATATGCTACACATCACACTTTGAAATAATGCCTCCACTCCTGAATCATTTCCTCAGTGAATGGCATTGCTCATGGGTGATTGTATTTGTTAATCACACTTACACTGCCTCCATTCTCAAGGCACCAATGCAAATAGAACTAGGTACCGTCAACACAAGGTGCCCAGTTTCTTTGATTAAAAAGTGGTTCTTACCGTTTTAAAAATTTAATATTAATATTATTATTATTTATGAACTAATTTACTTTTGGTTAATGGGTGTTACTTTACCCACTGCTGTCCCTACATTAAACTCAAATAACAAGAAATAAAACAAACAGGGCAACAACAGAATATTTTTTCAAAAAGTATTATTACATAAAAAAAGGAGTCTTTATTCTCTATTTCCTAGCTCCTTCAAATGTACATTACAAATATAGTTTTTATCTGACATACCTAAAATAAAATAATAACATTTCAGTTAGTGAAATTACTCTTTAATTGAAATTATTACAATATGAAATTTAAAAACAAGAAAATGTATCTATATCACTACGTAGATACTAAAAGAAAAACATCAATCTATTAACAAAAAGGAGGAATACATACAATTCAGCTCACAAATTCAATTACACTTACAAAATTATTACCATGTTGCCATGCATTAAAGGCAATAATTCTGTTACATTTACGATCTTCAATCACTCACATATCAATTTCTTGAAAAACTGAGTAAATCTGGTATTCACATGAATTACTCGTTCACTTGTGTAACAAACACAGTAAAGAGCAAGTATCAATATTCATAAAAAGGCAACATCCAACATGTCTATTATAGAAAAAACTGTCTGTTTGGTGAAGCGAGAAAATTTTAGTCAATCACTTCAGCTCGTATTCCTGCCATATCATCTGGAGATGCAGTATTCTCCAGACAAGAGTCTAATGCAGCCATCGAGCTTGGAGACCATTCTCATTCAATTCTTCGTTTCTTCACCAATGATCCCAACTGAAACAAAAGGCCACTTTTTTAAAAGCGAGCTCTTTACTGTATTTGTATTGTGGTGAGTTATCATTGGCATTTACAATGAAATAATTATATGAGTTGTCATTCCCAACAATATTGTTTATTATTGGTCAAACAGGCAGAACTTTTGATACCAGAATTAATGAACATATACATGCTTGGAAACCCAACACTTGTAAATCTCACTTTGCCAATCATTTACTCCAGACAGGCCATACATTCAATCCCCACACAGATATTAGTATACTGGAAATAAAAAATCAATAACACACCAGATTAACTTCAAAAAACCTCCATATTCATTTAAATAATAACTTACTGAATGAAAACCTAAACCATAACCCCTCTACTACAATTATTATTAGACACCACTCCCACACCGCACTCTTCCGGAACGGCACAGACAGCACACCGCACCGAGGCCATTACCCTCCTCCGCCCCACAGCCGGAAACTTAATCCCCTTGGCTTGCTTGCCCTGAGCCTGCAGTGGTTTTTGCGGCTTCCATACAGCAGGTAAGAAACAGTTCAACTTACATTTTCATGTTTTCTTTCAAATTCCATTTCATTCACTTTTCTTGTAGTATTCAATGCCTTAACACCCCACTTTCATGCTTTCAGTTCTTAAAATTTTAAATATATTTTCTAAAAATTGTAAATTATTAGTAATCTTTTATTATAATTTAATGTTTTTTCTTGTACTAGAAAGCTGATGATGGCTAAGCATCAAAAGCTGGTATTTTAATAAACAATATTGTTGGCAATGACGACTCATAATTATTTCACGATACCCCAATACCTTACAATTTGGGTTAATGATACACTTCGTTTGGGGGAAAAGAACAAATAGCAACTCTGTAAATGCAAGAATATAAAATCAATTGTATTTATTAATTGTATCATTAAAATAGTAATTTCATTCTCCATTTATTTCCAAGTATAATACGTCATCAGACAATTAAAGAAGTTTAATAGAAAGTGGGCCCAGCTCCATTCTCACCATTAGGATGTGCACACCTACCATGAACACCAAGAAATTGAAACAAGTCATTCATGTTGAGACTCATCACTTTCAAATTGGGACTAAGCAATTTCAAATTGAAAATTAAGACATGTAAATAGGTAAGATTAAATTAAGACATTCAGGACATATTTCTCAAATGCATACCTTTTACAATTTTATTAATAATTTACATAACCATATCAACTAAATTTATGCCATCTGAAATTAATCATTGTACATGAACAATATATCTTGCACAATTACTAGCATTTACAGTATTTCTCAAATATTTTTATTTATAATATTTTCTAACTGACAAACATGAAACCCTGTTTGCAACATATTTGCTGTCTTCACCAGTTTTGTGTCCATTTTGCACACAATCTCGTTTACCAGCAACTTTGAGGCCAGGCATTTTCAAAAGGAGTAAACATTGTGGTGTAAAGACTCGGGCCAGTTTCACACAGTCATTTTTTCACCACTTTTTCTGTACAGAAAATGGATGGAAATGGGGCACCTGTTTCTACAAGGTATAGTTTTGGTATTGAAACTGGATGAACGAATTGGAGTGTTTTACACATCATTCTGTTCTCTGAGCGTAACCATGATGAAAATATTTCCTCTGGATGCCACAAAAAGTGCTGAAGATCAAACAGTTGAAGATAGCATTTATGCCAACAAATTAAGTTAGGTTATATTAGGACTGAGCATGGAATGAATGACACTAGAATGTAGTACAAGTTTTTTTTTTGCCACTACATAATTACTTTACATTCAATTCTTTGAATGTAAAGTACGCACTCAAACCTGTACAAAATGAACTAATTACACCACATCCATGGTAGTCAAACTGCATAAAATATATAGGGAAAATGAAGCATGCATAATTTTTTAGGAATTACATCCTGTCTGGTCTGACATTTTTCTGTATCAATTAAAAATCATAATGATTGTTTAAAACAGGCTTTAGCCTCAGAAAGTTGATGCAGTTTCCTTCTGTAAATATCATCACAATGAGAGAGAGCAACTATTAACATAACATTCGATTGATACATGTTATATAGCTGCATTAGTTACTTTTTTTTTTTGGTCACCTAACTATTAATACTTTCCAGCACACTACAAATATCAAGAGTGTACACCAAACCATTGAAGGGTTTCTGCAAACATTACATTGAAATAATAATTTTATGATTTTCTTCAAAATTTCATTTCATATCTTTCATCACTTGGATTTTCTTCAAGTGTCCTGAACTACCTAATATGCGATCACTTTTCATTAACCAAGCGTATTAGCCAGCCTCCTCGGTTTTTCAAAATCTCGAAGTTTCAACTTAAGCCAGATGGACAGTAGTTTCTTCAATTTGGAAAAAATCCTACACATGGTTTAGACGCTAATAGTGTTCACAGACAGACGGAAGTTTTAAAAAGAAAAGAAAAGAAAAAGAGTCAAGAAAAAAATCAATCGATTTTCAACAGCATTTCATAACTTTCTCTATACTACATGTATTACTATGTATTTACGTGCGTAATACAAGAAAGTAATAAAAATCCGCAATACCATGCGTGTATCCAACAAGATAAATCTTATAAATTAGAATGGACTCTAGACCCTGAAAGAAACACTCATATTAATAAAGATACTGAGTTAATCACCTGAATAATACTTCCGGAATTAATCAATTAAAAAATAATTACGATCTTCTAAATTAAATCAATTAATAAATAATTCATCACCAGGATATACAGTTTCTCAATTTGCTTGGACTCCGCAGGTGATTGATATCTTAAACTGGACAATATAATTTTAAGAATGATAGCCTAAATAACACAGCTCTTTAAGAATTATCTGCCACCCGTGTGAAGGAACAAAGAAAGCCATTACACTGTCAGCTGACCGTCAACTTTATATACTCATATCAATTTTCAAAAAATCCAAGCAATACTTGAAAACAAGACTAGCGCCATATTTCTTACCATTTCTTTGGAGCGGATTTTGAGAATGTTTTTTGTTTGTTTTTTTTTTTTTGTAAATTTCAATCGCAAAGTCTACTTGTTTTTTCAAAATATTGTACATTTTTTGAAGAGCTAATTTTGTACAACAGACTTTGTCCGAGGCTCAATTTCTATCTTCGAAACAACAATTCAAATATTGCAAGTTGATATAAACAACAAACAATGCCAATGAATTCATTTTTCTATGAAGTTGCTAATGCTTTAATGAAAGTCAAAATCATCTTGTGTGGTGGGTATAATCATTAGAAAACAAAGGACATCATTCAATTGAATAACCTTACCAAATCAGAAATAGCTGGCAGATGCAAAGATGGATCAGCAGTGTTATTTCCTGTTGTAGTTTCTTGTGTTGGAGCTGGGGGAGGATTAGCTGGAGCTTTAGTTTTCAAATTTCGATGTTGAGGAAAAGTTGGCATTAATTTTGGATCGCAAGCTGCAAAAATACACACACACTTATTTATCTCAGAAGTGTTATTTCTGAGGTATATATAGTAGGAAGTAATTTACTTACGTAGTGGAGCTTCCTTAAAATAAGAACTCTGTAAACATTCCTCAGCAGTAGCTCGTTTTTTGGGATCATACATAAACAAGAAGTTCAATAGGCGCAAACCAGCAGCAGACAACCATGGAAATCTTTGCTTCAAATTATTATATGGTTGTTGTTTCAGAGTGAAACTTTGCAAAGCTGGCAAAGATGAAAATTCAGGCCATATTGCATCTGATGGAGTTCCCAACAAGTCAACAATCAGTTCTAGTTGCCCCAATTCAGTGCGCCCAGGAAGAAGAGGACGATGTCCTAAAAGTTCTCCTAAAATGCACCCTGCTGCCCACATATCTACAGAAGTTGTCTGGGTTCGTGCTTGAAGCAAAAGTTCAGGAGCACGATACCAAAGGGTAACAACTCTGGGTGTCATTGGACGTAGTGGCAATCCAAACCATCTGGCAAGTCCAAAATCAGCTACAAAGAAAATATTTAAAATATTAATATTTATATAATAATTAATTATAAATTATAATAAATTACATTAATATAATATTATATAATAATTAATTATAAATTAATTAATTATTATATATATTAATCTGGACAGTACTTCATGTTGCGCAAAATGGGCATAGCCACTGCACTTTCCCACCACCTTGCCACATTAAAAATAGACATAAGAGAAAGACTATTGAAATGGTGTAATATTATAAAGAGTTATAAAATTTTACATGAAGGCTAGAAGATTTAAATATAGTAAAAATCATTATTGAGCAGCTAGGCCTATACAAATTTTCACTTCATAAATTTTTCAGAGGTACTTAAAAAGGTAGAAAAAATGGCCAATATGCATTGATAGAAGAATATAAGGTCTCTGCCACATGAGCGTTGCATTGACTAATGCTAGGTAACAGCTGCGTGGATGCATGCGCAAATGAGTCATTTGACGCACGTGGTAGATTAACACTTTATTCTGGGCAGAACAACAAACAAGAGCTCTTGGTGACGTGCATTGTTGCCAACACTTGTCATGCATTGAAAGCTAGAAAGTACACTTTATCTTGACTTACATTGTACCCTGAGTGTCTTGCTTCAGCTGTGGGCACAATGGACATCGCTAACAGCGCTCATATGTCCTTTCACATAAGATAGTTTTAATCTACACACATAATGTGACGTGTCCACAGTGATCAGCATTAGAGGACACACATTGACGCAATGCTTATGTGACACAGGCTTAAGAGATATAGCCTCACCCTCTCATTCTAAAATATACTTTTACACTTTCTCATTCTAAAATAAACATAATTTTTTCCCATTCTTTAAAAGCTCAAACATCAAAGTATGGAATTCTTTGTAGGTTTTTAACTGTAAATTACTTTCATGAACACTCTTCCTATTATTTCATAAATAAATAAATAAATAAATTTAAAAAATTAATAGTTGGCAATCACTACAAACTGCCGAAAACAAACATTTTATGAGTTTGGGAATATGTTAACTTCACATATTTTTCTTACAGTAAAAATACCATTTCTCCCAACATGAGTGCATTTATGCATTGTCAAAGGCTACAATCAGTGGATGGCAGGGACTCATTAAAGTGTCATTGCGATATTTGAAAATTCACTGTGCTTCAGTCAATACACCTTAGATTTCAAATGTGGTGAATTTTGGTCAATTTCTATTTGACCTTGTAATAATGATTGTGTGTATCTGTGTATCTAAAAACATCAAGCTGTACACATAGTTTCAAAGAAGAAAAATTATTTTCACTTATTTTCACTTCCTGCAATTTACACCTTTTCCCTATGGTCCCATGAAAAGTGTAAAAGATGGCTTTTACTGTACATTAGAACCATCAAACTCTTTCAGAATGTTTTTACAGCATGTTCAGAAGTTCAGAATGTTTTTAGAACATTTCATTCAGTGCACACGAAAAGTGACACATCTAAAAAAAACAAATTTTGCAGGAAAAATATTTTGTTCCACTAAGAGCCCTTCATTTTTTGGCCAATGTCTTATCAACTGTTTTGAACTATCGTAATGAAGTTTTCACTAGAAAAACTATGTTCAGCACATAGTTCGATACTGATCTAAAAATGTATGATTTTTGAGATATGTATCTTTTCCTGCATGCCAATGATATTTACTTTTCCACTTTGAAATAGTTTTTTACAAGTGATTCATTACACTTCTGTAAAAATCTAAAACAAATTCCATGTAACAAAATTCTGAAATTACATTAATAATTGTACCTCAAACATGCATTATGCAATTCATGCACTGATGATTTGCAAAAAACCTTTTGCTTCAAAACTCTTATTTGAAGTGGTGATATAAATTACCTATTTTCACACAGCCTTTGTCAGTCATTAGCAGATTTGAAACTTTCAAATCCCGATGCACCACAAAATTACGATGTAAATATCGCAAGCCACGCAACACTTGAAGCATAATACATTTCACCTGAGACTCAGAAAAAGGAGCTTGCATATTATCCAAAAGACTTGCTAAATCTTGTTCACAATATTCCATTGCCAGAAATATGCTGAAACAAATATTATATAGTTATTAAAGAAATATGTAATAGCAATTGTTTTATGAATGTGCCTTTTGGTAAAAATTACTTTTCTAATCTGAATTTTCTAAAAGAAACTTAGACTTTTATTGATTGTTTGATATTTTAACAAAAAGCATATTTATTTAGAAGTAATGTTGCAAGAAAATTCTTTTACTGGACCATCACCTATATTTTATTTTCATTCCACATTTGCTTCTTTGACATAGTAAAGTGATGAGAAAAACAACATTATTATAGGACATACTTATAATTTTTTTAAGATGAACAATTTTGAAGTATAAAGACGTTCACTGTAAGACACTTAACAACCATTGTCCAAGGTGGAGATTACATTCATGAGCAACCCGGTTAAGAAAGATTCTCCTATGACTCCTAGACAAGGAAGTACACCTAACCTTACCTGAGATATATACTTCAATTCAAATACAAAATTTTCTTATCAAGTTAATTTTCCAAATGCCTAACAGGGAACGGTGATGCAATACGTCAAGGAACTTCCAAAGTCAAACTTTCATTTCGACACCAAAATGTTTGTTTGCCAGATACAATAATAAATCCATTCAGGAATCAGCAACTACTACAAAGACCTACTGGACGTTTGCAGGCTGAAACGTAGAAACAATTGGTGAAATTTAAGGGAGAATATTGCATGACACTAAGTTTGGCCAGGCTGCAAAGAATGTTAATTCTTCTTTAACTATTTCCAATAACGAAATGTTTGAAAGAAGACAACTGGAGTACTGAACAGTGACTTGAGTTCTTCTGGTATTTCTTTCACTTTCCAGAAATCCAGGGAGAGCTGTGAGAACAGATGTATGGAAATATGAATATGATATTCTGTCTTACAGAAATGAGATACATGACATAAAAATATTATGGTATTTTCCTCCCTTCATAACAAAAAAATGTAAGAAAAAAAAACTGAGCGAGTTATGGACCTTTACTAGAATTCAGAAACTAAAGTTCACAGCATTTAAATATGAATATATACCTTATTTACTCAAATATAAAACAAGATTTTTTCCAAATTATCAGTCACAAAATGCGGGGTAGTCTTATATTTGCAGATTAATCCTAGTCGATTAGGATTTAAGTTTTTACATTGCGATTCCATGACATGAAACTCATAAATGTGGTAACAAAAAACTGTGAAGACTGTAAAAATATAGCTCGTATCTACAATATGTAATTATATTCGCGTGCGTATTCTCAGCATCCACCGGGAATTTGTCAGGCAATTCAGACCCCTATTTATGAAAGGGCCAGTAAAGAGAATCTAACAGAATGGCATTGTATCAAATGAAACGTAACGTGAAAATGAATGTCGAGAGTTTGATACACAATGCAGGTTCGCCGAGGCTGTGTTGAATCTCGATTTAAAACCCAGTGAATGCGAATCTGCATTTTGAAGAGAAATGGAGGCCATCAAAAGAGCGGGACAGATAGACGCAGAAGGCAAGGTTCTTAGAAGGGCAACAGAAGGGAAGGTTTTTAAAAGGCATCTTTTGAAAGACTATGAACAACGCAAATTTAGTACACAAAACTTTCAAGAGGGGAGTCACAAGTCACAAGTCAATGTCACAGCATGGCAGCATGGCAGTTCAGCAATATTTCTCAACATTATCATTAAGAAGGCAATTTTCTAGTCAATTAGACATTTTGTAATTTTATTTTAATTAAAGAGTAAGAATTAGTTAAAACTTTTTTAAAAAATTCACAGGAGACCTCATCAAAATTAGGGGGTTGTCTTATATTCAAAGTCGACTTATTTTTCGTAAATACAGTACTTGTTTTAATGTAAATAAAATGTTAGAGCAAACAAATAGAAAATCTTACCTTTCCAAGCTACGGCCCACAACAACCTCCTTCAAATGAACTATATTTTCATGCCGACATCCCAGAAGGACAGAAATCTCTCGCAATCCACTAACTGGCAATCCATCTTTCTCATGTTCCATTCTAACTTTTTTCAAAGCAACAACTTTGTCAGTTTTAGTGTCCCTGGCTCTATCTACAAGTGAAAAAAAACACATTTAATAAGAACGTAGACACTCAAACATTCATACTACAGTTAAGTGATTCTGACACTCACATACAATACCATAGGTGCCTTCTCCAATGCGATTTAATTTCTCAAATTCAGAAACAAATCTGCATCGCCCCAGCTGAAATATTTTTTTTCCAAACATCAGTACAATACACACTTAAATTCCCAGAAAATGAGAAACAGAAGTTTCGGGGAAAAAATTATTCATTCTCAGTCCTTTGCAATATATTGCAGAAATAATGTCTTGTTTAAACATGTGTTTGATCTTGGTATATTAAAATCTTAAAATTAGCTAAATGTCAAAATTTGCAATGGTCATTTAATGAATAGCTTTTATAATTTTTCAGACATAACAATTCACAAATCATTCTGAAAGAACAGTACATCACAAAGATTTTCGCTTCACTTGCCCGAATCCACGTCATGGCGAGGCTCAGGCATCGGCCCTTCGCGTTCACTATAAGCATCCTCGAGTCTATCCACCACATAATTATCAGTTCACATTTATAAGAAATCACTTTTGAAGAATGCCTCCAGAATTCTGTCCAGTTAACGGCGGAGCGATGCGAAGTGCTGGTTTAAACAACTACTGTTAGTTGTACCGTATACTAGACTTCAGCCAGAAATACTTATTTAAAAAAACTAAAATTGAAATCGAGGTTCAGTCAATTTTTATTTGAAGCAGTTTTCCATCCTAAAATAATTCATTATTCATTACTTCTGCTCAGTTGAAAAGGAAAACTACAATGCAGTGAGCTAATTTGAACAGATGTTTTGTGATCCTCTAGGGTAAAAGATTACCAACACAAGGACTAAATTAACTGCCCTTTAACTCAATTTCTAAATTCCAAATCCCAACAAAATAAACCACTGATTCCTAATTTGACAGTATTTCAGAGGACAACACCGAAAATGCATGGTACTACCAGTAACCAAATATAGCTTTTAAAATGTTCTTCAAAAGAAGAGTGAACATTAATCTCAGCATAACAAAAGCTACACAAATTTTTGAATTCAATATATCACTTTTAAAGGAACTACTTTCATCTTATCCGCAAACTCAATATTTTAGTTTAAAAATGAATAGTCTTATTTTATTAATGTACTGCAATAAAGCACAAAGGTGCCTTCAGCAACAAAGGTCAGACTATAAAATTGCATCCTCAAATTCAGCACAACAATTATTAAAACAATGACCCACCAAATCCTGTTCGGGAATTTCCATTGGCTTTCCTGTAAGGAACGATGTAAGTACTCCACGGCGTGTGATAGGCGCTGAGGGATCTGGACCAGCTTCATTTGGACCGCGATCCTCTTCCACAGCATCCAATGTCCTTTTTCCTGCTATACCACACAAACTACTTAGAAAATGAGCTTTTGTAACAGATTCCATTTATATGCAAAAACGATATACGCACTACTAAAATGTAAAACATTGTTGAAAATAATTCACCGACATCGACAATGCTAGACAGAGGGGATAAATAGTACTTGTATTGTTATAGTACATTAAATGTACAATAACAAAAAAATGAGACTAGCCTATTAACTACTGACACAAACCTACCTTTCGTCATAGTAAATAGCGATTTGTCGGGCTCAATGATTGAAAGATTGAACCCTAAATGATGCTGTGATGATTTACAAATTCACATCCAAATAAACACATAAACCGGCTTCAGAAAATCTGAGTCAATTTCGCCGTCAAACTCTCTCACGACGTACGCTAACACTGGCAAAGTCTCAGAAATTGCAAGTATTGCAAGAGTTCGTAATAAATTCTTTGGAACCATCCAGACATTGCAAATTCCGTAGACACTAATAAAAACATTTTAGCCAACCTTCTCTAGCCAAACTTTCGAATGATAAGTGGAAAAAGTATCTACAAAATTAAAGAAAGAAAATAATTATTAATTAGTGGGTATTTAGATTAACATTTCGAAATGACTTACAATGTCACGCAGAATTATTCTGAAGTGTTCTTAAGAGTGGGTTCTAATTCTTACCCAACAATTTCACGTTTTCAGGCGCATTGTTTCTATCAGTTTGTTAGAACGCTAAAATACATTTACAGGAATAAATAACAATACGTTTCTGAAAAAAATTGAATTTGCGGTTGATGAGAAGAGTGCCTCCCTTCGAGCCCATCTAAACTGTGCATCACTGCTTACCGCGAAATACAAACAACATAGACATGTACATGTGATCAATGTTTATTTGTGTTAGCTACTGACAATACACTTCAATGAGATATTCTCTTCATTAGGATCCTTAATTAAGAACAATGTAGAACTGACACATACCTATAGTACTGAACATTTCATCTGTATTTGGTCTAAATGTTAGACGCCTTTCCCTCTCCGACTTCCAGTCAAGTAAATTCATTGTAAGGCGGTTTTCTCCCATCCTGTCTTCAAGTACATCCAAACTTTCTTTCTAGAATTACTTCTAGTGTCACAAACAAAACTCATTAACATCACATATAAGAAAAACATCAAGAGTAGTCATGGAAACAACCCTTGTGAATGCATCAGAATTTGATGAAACAGGTTTTGAATAGCTACTTCCTATTCGAATTCTAATTACATCAGTTTCAACCCATTTTTATTGAATTTGCCAAACAAGTATTTACAACTCATTATTGGACTTTCTTTCAAACTATAAATCACGTGTCGTCTTAAACGCAAGTGACCTATTCACAATAAACGGTAGCTCGAATAATATTTATTCAACTTTCCTTTTGATTTCTTGTATACGTCATACGTATATACGGAGTAATACAGTGCGTACTACAGAGAAAGTAATGTAATGCTCTGGCAAAAAATGACCTGTTTTAGTTTCCTGATTTGCTTTTTTACTTTCTCTGCCTGCCCGTGATGTGGGCAACGATAGCACCTAAACCAGTGTTTGCCAAATGGAGCATAAATGAGGTCAGAGCCACCCTCCCCTTCATGAGAAGAAGCTCGGAGAACTACGAGCATGTGTGGGTGAGAGGAATCGACAGACAGCAGTCGCTGATGACGAAAACCTTCGCAGTGGACCATCGCCGGTGTTTCAGGCAACATGAGTGGGAGACCACCTACACCCGTTAATTTTCTGTCGTAGATACTGTAACAATGGCCAAGTGTTAAGTGTGGTGAAATAACTGCAATGTGTTAAAAAATCTAGCCTGCAGACGCATTACTCGCAGCTTTGCGACCCAGAGAAACCCGTGTGATAAAACCAGGGCCGTGTTTAAGATGTGGGTGGCCCGGGGCCCATTTTGGTGGGAGGACCATTGTTTTAAAGTGTTGTAAGATGTAAAGCAAAAACACAAAATGAAACGAACACAAGTTTAAGTACTTGCAAAAGAGAAAATCAACTTTTTCATTAAACGTTTAGTACATCATAACTAACAAATAACACATAAATATATTACAAATCACGTTATAACCACTATAGTCCATGCACTTACCTTGATTATTGTGCTGCAAAATCGCTGATGTCACTTAAGTCCAATTCAGGCAGTATATCTGACTCGATGTCAATATCTTTTACAAGTCGTTCTTGCTTCGTGGATTCCTTAATCAGTTTTTAATGAATTTGAGTTTTGAGAAGGAACGCTCACCATTGCAGATTGTTACCATCAAAATTAGATATATCCTTAGAGCTATCTCAATGTTTGGGAAAGTGTCCTGTACAGCACATAAGCTTGTACATGAAACGTTCAGTGCTGATAGTTTTTTGGCACCCTCGTCTGTGAATATATTGGCAAACGTTACAAATTGACACACTTCATCGCTGTTATGTCCAAGTCATGTGAATAAGTCCTGACGAGTAGCTCTGCTGCGGTCTTAAGCTTGTCTGAAGATAGTCTTTGCAGATGGCCAAAAAGCTAAATTGGCTTGATATACCTATCTTTGTATGCTTGAAGACGTTGGTCAAGAGAAGCGATAAACTGATCGCAAACCGGCAAAGTGTTTGTTCTGTATTTTTCAGAAGAGCGGAGTTGTACTTCCTTATGGCCATAATCCAATGGGTTGAGACACACATTTCGGCGCTTGTGCGTGCCAGTTTTCGTATGAACATACTCTATTGAACCATACAACTCTTCGACTTGCTTCTCATAAGTTTCGAAGGAATCACGCTTTGACGCAACATAGTTTTTGAGCTCGTCAGTGACGTCACAGCATTATTTAGATCGTTTTGCGTGTTGTAGTTTTTTACTAGTAGCATCCTATTTTTGCAGGATATCGTTCCAGAAGGCGGTGTGAATTCCAAATTCAAGCCCATTCATTTGTGTCCTGCAGTCCTGCTTCACACCGTACACTGTCTTTGTCTTCAAAGTCATTAGCAATTTGCTTAAGTACAACCTTAATCTGCTGATTGTCATTTTACCTTAGTTGAGTCAGCGCTGCAGGAACAACGCGTTGTTGTGACACATTTGAGAGTCAATGCCGAATTATTATTTTTCAAAGCCCCGGCTAGAAGACGATGTCGATGCGTTGAAACAGTGAAGAAGACGAACAGCTTCATAAGGAAGTAAACAAATTTACAGAACTCGAGCAGATTTCTGCAGCAGTTTTAATCAACATAATTTAGAGAATGTGCTGTACAAGGAATCTACGATGCAAGATTGTTATTCTCTCTCACTTTGGCTTGTAGATCCGAATACTTTCCACTCATTGCAGATGCATTATGTTAACTTTGACCACAGCAGTTTCGGTCTAGGTTTGTCTCTTCAAAAACATCTACCACTGAACGTTTTGAGCGCCATGGCTTTTGTTTGCCATGAATGTTACTGAGCGTTCCACGGTGCTATCTTCCTCCAATAACCCAGAATAAGGGTTAGTTGGTCAATGTGGGCTGCATCGGGTGTGGAGTTCAAATAGATGGAGAAGTATATTAATTCCTTAACTTGAGAAATAATTGTTTAGAGGATTTGTTTTTTCACTATGCCGTGCAAGAAAGAAGTCGTACTGGACGAAGAGTTTTAGAATACCCAAAAAGTTCCCATCACAGAACAATGAATGAATAAAGGATGGGTTCCATTTTTAGATGATCCAACAATTCGTAATCTCTTCTAAACGCTAAGATCAACGAGTTAGAGATCTCTAACTCGTTGGCTAAGATACGCTCAGTAATAAACTGAATAACATTTACAACTGTTGTTCGGGAAGTAAAATGAGAACACAAACAATGGTTTTAATTACAATTCATTAACACATAAAACTGAAGGATTACATTAGTACAAAAGAAAACTTTGGTAGAAAAAACTCGCTCACTCGGTACGTTTCGCGACTGACTGACTCTCATTGCGCAAAAAGAAAACCAGAACGAGAGTGCGCATCTAACGTCATTTGACCAACAAATCAATTTATTCAAACGCACACACCTACCACTCACAATATTAAATTGTTATTTCAACTACTACTCGTTCCAACACCGATTTCCTGTAATGCTCCAGACGCTCGAACTGTTGGGATAGTTCCATATCAATTTGTCCAATCGCTTTTAACCTCCTATTCAAAGCATCGTAGCCTTTAGATACTTCCTGCTCATGACAATCAAGTTTAAAGCTGGAATTTGGATTTCTTCTATTCTCCCTATCATTATAAACAATTTTCAGCAAAGATAAGCATTTTCCCTGTTTTGTGAAATTGACTCCGTATTGGTGGAAGGCCCACTCTTGATGGGCCCCTTGGAACCCTTTAATCCGGCCCTAGATAAAACTAAATTCTGAGAATCATCAGATAGCCCACAATCATGGGACGAGTGAAGGAATTTGTAGATGGAAGATAATGGAAAAGATTATTATAATAACATAATAAGGATTTACAACATATCAAAGAAAACCGTACATAAAAAATTATTAAGCCTGAGGTTCAAATTTTCTCACATTATTTCTTCCGGGTACCTATTTGTTAACATTATTGTTTCAGAAGAACTAAATTCTTTATATTTGTCCTGGAACTGAAATAGAATAGAAATAATAGAATATTCACACAATTTTCATATACTAATTATTTGATTTTTCTAAACTTACAAAAATGTAATTTTTTTGAAGCACCTCTCATCATTAAAATTCACTTTGTCAATGAATTCCATTGTTTAAACAATTGTTAACAAAAAATGCCTCAAAATATTTCTTATGATGTGCTTTAAATATGCATATGTTTGTGAGCTTATGAAAACTAAAAATGGCACATTTTCAAAAACGTTTGAATCAAGTTTTCTCAACAAACAGCTGCAACTTTTTCTGGGAAATCTCCATACTGGAAAAGAATTAAAGTCTCTATGAAAGCCTTATTTTGGTCAAGATGTTTGGGGCCTCGAAAATAATAACAGAAAAATATAGAAGTATTTTAATCAAACTCAATACAAAAAATATAATTTACACAGACAAAAAAGTAAACCACAGTTTTAATTGAAATGTCCTTAGATATTGTCTTATAAAATTTCGTTTGAAAGTTCGTAAATTTTAAGGAAAATGTGCCTTTTGTGTCTTTCCGCTCAACAAAATGGCTAGTGATAAGGGTTACATGTAGGTTACCATAGCAAGAAGTTTAGATAAACAATATGTATATTTTGACAAGATCAAATGTTTCATGAGTCAGTGTTTGAATTTAGTGGCTAATATGTGGAATTTTGAAACATTAAAATCACATGTTACATTATTTTGTTTTCATAATACATTGATATACTTGATCTTAGTTTGAGTGGTTTTACAAACTGGTTGCGATTCATGATCCAAGCTTTTTCTTAACATTTCTATTTTTAATTGTTAAACGGTTATACAGGTGTACTATAAATAATATTAGCCCTAATTTTATTGGATTGAATCACTAGTGAACTGCTCTTTTATTTATGTTTTTATTTTGAGGTACATTTGTATTTTTATTATTGTGTTTTTGGATGTCTGTATAATGTCAAATATTTACTGTAAATTCAAATTGCTCTTGATCTCGAATTTGCCCATCAACAAGAGATCAAAAAACCATAGCCATCACAATAAGAACTCTTTTTTCGCCACTCAGGTACTCTGAAAATAGATTGGACAGCTAAAATCTTGACCTCAAATTTTCAGATCAGTTCCAAAACTTTTCCTGTGAACTACTTACAGCCTTTGAAAGGCAAAAATATCAATATAATACTGAAATTATAGATCACAGTGGAATCACATTTTGAAGGACAATACTCCAATTACAAACTAGAGGCTTCATATTTCTTAACACAACAGCTTCAACCCAAAAACTTGTTTCTCAATTTTAAGAAAATGTGAAGGAAACCTTTAAAGATTTCCAGATGTTTCAATATTTATTTATGTATACTTATAAGAAAGAAAAGTTTCAGTTCAATGTACGTTAAAAAAAAAAAAAAAATAAATAAATAAAAACCACACACACACACACAGAAAGGTATTACTTCCCAAGATATTTCAATAATGGAATTTATTCTAAAAGTTTCACAAACTGAAAGTTCAAAGCACCAGGGAAGTCTCTTTGCATTAAGACAAGTCTACAAGAGCCTCCAATTAAAAATTGCATTTATGTTGGTAGTCACCAGATCACTGGGAAACATGAAGGGTACAACACTTGCAACATCTGTTATAGTTGTGGCGAATATACAATGTACATTTTTTTGTTACGTGCCACAGCTAGTGCTAAGTACATAAATTCTGTTGATAACATACTCACCAGCAAAATGTTAGTGCAAAAAGACATTCCTGGCATACTGTGCAATGTCAGACAGAAAGCAAATTTCTTGTATTATATTTGGATATGAAATTTTATAGGAAATTCCACAGATTAGCAGACGAGGACATATTTTTTGTAAATGAAGAAAGGTATGTACATGATACAAATGTAACAAAAAGTGTGACAGTTGTTTCTACAAATTCAGATCTGAGAAAAAAATTTATAATTCCAATTTCATTTTATGACCTGAGCAAGAATGTATAATTGATAGGATGAACAAATTCCCTAGCGATAAGTCAAAAAAAATGAAAATATAAAAGATAAGTTTGCAAATGCATGATATTCCACACAAACAGAATAACATACACATAATAATTCATAACAAAACAGTCTCTAGTTCTCCGCAGTTTGGAAATTATGCTTAAGATATAATTAATGTTAATACAAACAAAAGAACCTAAAAGCCAACAAATGCTTATCTCAGATCATAAATATTACACTATCTTCAAACATGGCAGCTTTTCAGATTTCAAGAAAGTTGCTAGCGATTTTCTTATTATTCATTTATTTAAAAAAAAAAAAAAAAAAAAAAAAAAAAAAAAAAAAACCATGAACTACAATTCATAATGTGTAAGTGGCATCCTGGACATGTGTTTCTGATAGGATTTACATGACATAACTCAGATTCACTTGATAGATTGTAAAGAGCACAAAGTTCTATTTTCTTAAACAAATTGAAATTATGATGCAAACACAATCAGTAGAAACACTGAAGAAAACACTACTTTTACAAGTGTCTTTATTTCATGTCAACGGAAAAATATCAGAATATATAAAAAATGAAAAATTTTTCAACATACATTTATTTTCTTTTGTACTCTAGTTTTAACTGTATAAATTTACATACTTATTATTAATTTATAAATTTCAGATACTGAATCCCCATATTTAATCTGATTTGGAAAGAGTTTAAAGATATTCCATAATGTTTTAACCCATCTCAAATAACACACTCCACACAGAGTCATAATCAATGAGATAATTGCATTTTTTCACCACTTAAGCATGCCACCACAATATGGGTTTCAAGTGTACAATTAATAGTGAAGCACAGTCTTTACAAATCTCACTCCTTCCTTTTACTTTCATTGAAGTTTCAGTTAACCAAAACTTCTGTTCTTTCAATCAGTAAAAATTGCTAATTCGTCTTTCCTTTTCTGCAAGACACTTTAAAGTAACTTAATGAATGAGTGAGTGATAACCTGGCAAATCAGAGAGCTTTACACCCTCAACAAATTCTTTCAATAATCCATGCGTCTATCTGATGCTAATTTGCAATTCTAAATAAACGTAGATGAGCCATTCCTGCACTTGGGCAGTAAATTCACATTTCAAAAGTACTCACAATAAAGCTAAAATTATTTCAATTATATCCACAATAACTTTCAAATTAATAAGAAGTAGCTGGATAAGGGTTAATAAGAAGAGACTAATATCTGCAGATAAGACAAAGCAGAGCAAATTATGACAATGAACACTAAATATGTTTTTAGGAAATAATGTTATGGATGATAAACATTCTTTTAAGATTCTATTTATTTCTACTGTCTTTACTTTTACTTCACAAATTTTCATTACCTACTTTATCTAATTGCGTGAAATAAATATAAATATTGTTTAATATCTTGAGATTTTAACTACTTTTTACCCTACAATTTTTAAATTAAAAGTTATGACTGAAATATGAGCCATTAGCATTTCTCTGATGCAATATTGGCTCCTTTATTCGTATATTTATGGCTTCATGTTCAATGCATCAATTACAGCAATGTACTTGCTCCAATAAATGTTTTAACTTAAAAGGTTAGTTAGATTCTTGCCTGGTACAGTTCACTCATTCATTTTTAACCAAACTACTTTTTCCAATGCTGAGATAGAAGTAATTTACTTAGATATATAATTTATCTAGTTATTACGCTTTTTAATTACATGAACTGACATTTGATAAAGGAAAACTCAATAGCACAAACGGGATGAAAATATGGAACTCACTCGACAACTTCAATGGTATCCTTTCCAACTTGCTGTATGATAAAGAATGAGGTCTTATTTGAGATGCATATATTTCGTGCACTGAGATTGTAAATATAACAAGAAAATACTATCATACATTTTCAGTGGTTGAATACTTTTTATACATAAAATTTCCACTGTAGGAATAATTTACACAACAATGGTAATAAATATATTGCATTCTGCAAAGCAGGTAACAAGTCATAAATAAATAATATAATACTCTAAAACATATTAGAAGTATTGATTTTTTTTTTTTATACACTCTACACTCCCAATGTCAAGTTGAAATAGCCTTCACCAGAAGTTTTACAGGTTTCAACAAAATTAAGAAAAAAAAAGTTTAAAATGTCTTTAGAAATGAAATTTATCTACAACAATGATCTTTGTTCATAATTACATTGTATATTTACCTGTACTTCTACAGGAGAGAGTTACACTAATATATTCCAACAATGTTCAAAAATAGTATTCCCTGATGAAGGTGTAACAAAACATCATACAGAAACTTCATGGCTACTTGGGGCATGAGACATCGGCTTCCTAATGCATTCACCACACAATGTGTAAACATTTAATATGAATAGGATATGATATGAAACTGCAGGGTAAACTAAAATAACATACCAATTACTGGCAATCACTATAAAAAATTCATCAGTGTGATTGTAACTCATGCAATGCATCACATGATGGCATTCGTGTATTTTGAGCTCTTTGGAATAGGTTTTGGTCCCCGAAATTCCTGGCCTTCCACAGTAACGTGTCACCTGAAAGAAGAAAATATCAGTTGTTTTTTTATATTATAAAGGAGCCTTATGAGAACTACAAGGAAACATTTATGAGCACAATGAAACAGGTATAAAAAAGAGAAATGAATTAAGAACCGTCTGAGGTGTTCTCCTCACTGCATCCTATCCCAAACCTTGTCATCAATACATGAGAAGAAGTGAACATTTTGACACAAACGCTTATTTTCAGAACTGATGAAATTTGTCACAAACACACATACATAAGGTCAGTTAATGATATCTCCACTTCATGCACATTTCCTAATTGCAACTAATTTCTATAACAGGAATAATTTTTCCTAAAGAAACTCAAAAACAGTTATTTCAACTTACAATAATTTTACTTCATAATTATAGTAAAACTCTCTTTTACACTTTTCAAGGATCCAAGAAAAAATTATGTAAATCACAGGGACAAGTAATTGGCAGGAGGTTGCTTTTGGCAGGAGCTTTTCCTTGTATGCACTATACAACATTGTAAATTCTGAAGTAAGTAATTTAGATTTAATTTTAGAAGCACTTAAAAGTTGTACAAAACACATTTCTGACAAAAGAGATGAATATCTTCAGTTCTTTAGTGCCAAAATAGTATGGTTTGACTTCTGAAGTATATGGCATCATGTATGTGCAAGGGTAGGTTGCAGGTTTCTGTTCTATTTTTTTGCAATCCTATGGGCAATCACTTCAGGAACGCCTATAATTTCCATTTTATTAAAGATTATCTAAGTTAGTAGTGTAATTGAGATCTGTAGTTTCTGTTATTCAGTAATGCCCTTCAGCTAGCTGCTCAACACTATTTTAAAATTTAATTTCAACATTTCTGTCCTTTCCATCTTGTAAAAAATACATATTTTGTAAATTAAGTAACTATATTTTTCTTCCACAGATGTGCTGCATAATAACTGAACTAAAAACCATTCATGCAGCCAACAGGGATAAACATGAATTTTCATTCGCAAATCCATGAAATAATTTTTTGATGGTTACCACTTCCGATCCTGAAAATAAAACAGATCTTTGCCTTCTCTAAAATGTATACAAAACACACATTAGTAACTTTCTGATTTTGAAAATAGTTTAAATTTAAAGCAATAACATCTAGCCTAGGACAGTCTTGGGACAATATTGAGTAATTCTGACTTTTTCTGATCAAAACAATCTAATATTTCTTGCAATTGGTAGGAACAAATATGCAAGATCATCAGCCATCCCATTCTTCTTCGAGTTTGTGAAGTCAGGGGAAAAAGTGTTAAAGACTACTGCATTTTGAATGTAGGGAAATAGAAAGGATGAGGAAAAATTACGTATTCGGGGAAATTGAAAGTAGGGTTTTACTATACGACATTAATTTTTTTTACCTTTCATAATGAAGATAATTTTTAACTACACAATTAAAGATTTTAACTTACGATAATTCTTCTCTCGATAACATGCCTGACGAAGATTTGTTACGTGTTCTTCTTCAACCGTCAATTCTAATCTCCTGAGGCTTCCTTGGTATTCTAAATGAAAGTTTTCTTTCACATAATACGGTACTCTCAGGTTTTGTGTAGTTTTCTTCACAGGAAACTTCCTGTAAACAATCACATTTAAATTTAGAGCATATCAATCTCTCCAATAATTTGCACTAAAAGAATCCTTCGTTGCACAATTTTTTCTTTAAAGATCAAACTTTTTGGATAATAATTTAAATTGGACAGGTACCAGGAAAAATAGTAAAAGAATTCTAATTTTCTTCTGCGTCGTAATATTGAAAGTTTTTGATTCATTGCACATGTGCCAAGATGCATATAAATCATACATTTCATCTTGGCATATGTGCAATACTGCCCCATAGAGAATGACACGCATAACAATTTACATAAAATCTTGTAATAATAACTTATTACAAGTTATGATGTAATTATAACTTATTACATCATAAATTATAATAATTTTATTAATGTCAATAAATTTGTTTTGAAACAGATGTTAAGGACATAAAATGAAACTCTCCTTTTGATCAAGCCCGTATTACCAAAAATATTGCTTGACTCTTTCACATGTATTTCACCTAACATCAACTACAAGAAGTGAAAAATCTTGAAACAATTTTTATTGTTGTTTAAAGAGAAGTTGACCTGCCGCATTTCTCTGGAAACAAAAGTGTATCCTTATTCCTTCTGTTTTGACTTTTACACGTTGTTCTTTGAAGGTTCGAACAGAATGACATTTTTACACATTGTTCTATCAGAAAGACATATGAGGGCTCTGAGCTCATTTTCAGATAATGTTTTGTGATACCCTACTTCAACAAACTTTGTATATTTATTCATTTTTTTGAAAATGTATGCATGAAAACTGATAAATCAAATAAATTAGAACAGAATATGTAATGTTTCGTAAGACAACATAACCTATACATAATGCAAACACATGTGCACCTTTGCAGGTATGTAAGATCCACAAAACCCTCTAAAATTACAATAGTAAACAGAACCTAGATTCAGAATAGTTAAACTCTTACAAAAAACTTCACTTTTAAATGACCAAAATCTGTATTTTGTTAAAGTAATTAACAAACACAAAAATACACACCCAAAGTTGGCTGACAAGCCCTCATGGAGTAAACAACTACTCACAGAGAAAAAAATATTTCAGAAAAGCAATTCCCGTGTGATCTTTTGAAAGCTCAACAAACCAAATGGCACAGGAATCCTTTGCGAACATGCCAAAGTACACACCGAGGCTTATAATGTACAAACATAACCAGAAATAACTAACAAAAGTGGCTTTGCATAACTGTAATGCAATGCATTGTAAGGCATGCATACTTACGAACTTGAATGTAGACTGTACAGAGGATCCGAAATAAAGAAATTACTCATCATGGAAAGAATGATCAATAAGATGATAGGAGCCATTTGTAACAATACATTATATCCACTAGCAGGCTGTAAAAAAAAACAAAAAAACAACAACATAATTTCATTCTTTTATTGCCACAATGGCTCAAAGTAGAGCCAGATAATAATGCATTACAAATTTATAATACATAAACATGTATGTATTCTAAAGTATATATAATATGCTAAGGAAAGATATCTGTTTATTCCCTTTTATAAAAAAAGCATGGACACAAAAGTCCACAGTGTTTTAGTGCTGGATTAGTGATTTGAGAAAAGAAAGCAAGCAAGAAGAGATTAAGAGAACGACAACAACTTCATGTTGACTACGTCATTAGTGGTAATGACAAAGGCCCAGATCTTAATGACAAGTCATGTTTTTTCTGAATCTTGGGATGAATTTTAACACAATTTATGCAAGAATCCAGGCATTGTTGAATAGAAAAACTTATTTTTATTGTGCATATAAAGTCATATTTATATCGTTTTTCGTAAAAGGACATATTTTGGCCACATTTTGCCATAAATGCATATATTTGTCAGATTTTTAAGGATACAAGAATAAAAAGCTTGAAAAAGTGTCTCGCACGTGTGAGGTGACATCTTCATAAATAAAACTCAAGAAATATATCACAAATTATTTGAAATGTATTATTCTCAGTGCTACGATGAACCCCTGATAGAAAGCAAATGTGTGTTTCTTTCTTGCCTCCTGCAATGTGCAGCTGAACTTGAGATCTTCATAGCCAGCGGAGCGCTGACAGCTGGGAAGATGACAGCGAGATTCTCCAACCTATATGATTCCCTGGAGGGATTACAGTCACTTTGTTCTCTTGCCAGAGAAAAGTAGGAGTGGATCAAATTGTCGAAACTAAAGTGCATCAACAGCATGAAGCTGCAAGGTTATGTTCGTAATTTTGGAGACATTCTTCAGTACTGACAGGGAAATATTATCTTGAAAAGTAGGTGAAGTTAATGCAAAAGAAAAAACAAAAATGTGCAACAATTTAATGTGCAAGAACATTGTAAAACCATTAAACACAGCAGCTGTGTGAAGAGAAGTGCAGAAAATGACAGCAAACAAAGGTTGTTGTCTGAGCAGGCAGGTCCATCTTCAACCTCGCAATAGTTCTTCAAGGACTAGTGTGAGATGATGGTGTCTTCCTACATCCCATTGGAGAAACTGAAGAATTCATGTTTCTGACAGTTCTAGGAGAAGTACACAACACATCCCGTTCCAGATGAATCAACATTGAGAAAACATTATTTATTCATGTGCTATGAAAAAGTGCTCAGTAAAATATGAATGAGTGTTGTTGACCCAAAGATTTGGGTATCCCTTAATGAAACTACCAATGTGAATGGGCATTATGTTGTAAATGATGTTATTGGTGCTCTAAAAATTGACACCTAGTGACATTTTCCTCCTAATGTGCAAAGTTCTTGAGAGAGTCAACAACAACTATTTTGTTTGACAATTCTATGAAACTATTGAGGCCGGATGGTGTGAAGAGAGACGTTTTGCTACTAGTGACAAATGATGCTTCATACGTGGCTAAAGCAACCATGGGGCTGCAGATTCTCTACCCTAGTATGATGCATACGACTAGTCTTGCAGGTGCTTTACACAGAGTTGCAGAAGAAGTACGATCAAATTACCCTGATGTGGAGGAATTAATTTCCTGCATCAAAAAAATCTTTGTCAAAGTTCCACTATGGGTGCAGACATTCAAAGAACAAGCACCTCCACTATCTCCCGCCACTCACCAGGTCTTTTAAAATAGAAAATCTAAAAATGCACCATGTGATTCAATGCAACTCTCCAGAAACTGAAGACTGAGAGGAAATTGGAAAACATGAAACAAGAAGTTTGCAGTAGTAAAGCAAGACATTTTGTTTGATGGATTTTATTGTATGGTACTTGAGTTGTTTTAGAGATACGATTTTTTTTTAAATGTTAGTTAGTTCCAAAGACAGCAAAGCCTAAGTACTACACTCAATCTGGTCACGAGTGAATTTTGAATTTATGTTATATCTAAAAAATCAACAGAAATTTTAAAAAAATAAACTTATATACTTTTTTTTTAAGGTCATAAATGCTCTCATATTTTAATTATTATTAAGGCCACTAGAATCCGGGTCCTAATGATAACAATGCACGCAGACAAGTAAAGTTCATATGACTCGGATAATTCTGGAATGAATTTCTAAAGGTCAAATAAATATAAATTCAATTTGCTTTTTACACCTTCAAGCATACATTTGTCGCCTTTTTGCCTACCAGCAAATTTAGGGAACATTGACACAAAAAAAAAAAAAAAAAACACCACCACCACCACACACGCTTTAAAAAGTGGTCTGTACACTTCCTTTCTGGAAAACTCCCAACGTTGTGTATTTGCAACATTCTGTCCAGCTTCACCTTAGTATCAAAACATTTCTAGCAAACATCTATCAATATGTAACTGAAATGTGTGAAATAAATTAAGTATTTTAATGCTTGAGAAGAAATGGGTTAATATTCTTCTTAGGCTTTCTATTGAACTATGAATTCTCGGCTATCCGGGAGACGCCGCGTCGTTGGCTGGGGTGCCGACGTTTCGCCCGACATTTCGCAGGCTTCCTCAGGGCAGTGACACTGCGGCGCTACGCGCCCGTTGATTTAAACTATCTTGCCTGGGTTCTCGGGAGGGGCAGGGGCAGGTCCCAGGCAAGATAGTTTAAATCAACGGGCGCGTAGCGCCGCAGTGTCACTGCCATGAGGAAGCCTGCGAAATGTCGGGCGAAATGTCGGCACCCCAGCCAACGACGCGGCGTCTCCCGGATAGCCGAGAATTCATGGATTCGAGCCGCGGAAGCTTACGTACACTTCTATTGAACTAGTAACACACTTTAGGCCTTCCCACCTGCAGTAGATGATAATGATCTTGACGATGAGGACAACAAACTATGATAAAGTGCATGTTAAATGTTATGTGATATGGATTGTCAATTTCTAATGTTGTAGTTTCATCAGCTCTACTTCTTAAAGAGAATGAAGATTTTCATATACGCTTACCAAATAATTGTCTTTGTCATTAGTTTAAATTGATAAATGTTATGTTGGTTCCTTGAAAATATCTATTTGAGGTTAATTTTAAGAAACATTTCTTAAGCAGCTTTACCTCAGTCCGCTGCTGTTGACTTTCACTTGCATGTTGCCATCTTCCTCCACGGCGCATGTACACATTCTGCTGGGGCAATCCTCCACCAAAAAACATGTTGAACAGCTCCTCAGCAGAGAAATCCGCTAAAAATATAATTTTTGTTGTTTTACAAATACAAATTTAATAATGGTTATTTTAATTGGCGCCTCACATTATATGATTGTATTTTCTCACAAATTAAAAATGAAAACATAAGAACTACAATCTCTGTTTGATAAACTATCTTAATCATTGTTTACAGTCAAGCTAGTCCTCGGGTTTTGTTCAAGTCCAATAAACTTGAGCATTGAGATCTACGGCCTAACTCACACCCAAAATCTAATTGTACCTTTGGACATTCAGTGGACATTGACATTGGTTTTGGAGTTGGTAAATGTCAGAGATCATTTGCTATTGTTATAGTGATATAAATTGAAATATTGAATAAAATTTTTGTCTACTTGATGGCTAGCGGCTGACAGGGCAGAGAAAGTTCCATTATCTAATTAGTCTTCAAATTCTGATTGCATATTAAGAAACAAAATTACATCTTACAGTGTGAAGTAACTGAAAATAGAAGACTGCCATTGAATTCCATTATCAGTTTGTTATGCGTTGTGTGTGTGGTTCTGTGAGGCCTATAGTTGTGTGCTCTCAATGCTCTTTGTTTCTTTCAACTGCTGCTGTTGTGATCTGATGCAAGAATGACCAGCGCCTGAGTATTTGAAAACTTTTCTCTACTCCCTCCCCCCAGCTGTTAAGTAGACAGAAATATTATTTGGACAATAAATTCTTAGAATTTAAATTAACTGGTAGTTATCCACCATTTGGAATTGATAATGAATACCTCAATATCAAGTCACGTCTTAGCCGTCTTGATAGCAGGAAAAAATTGCAAGAGATTTTTTTTTATTCAAGGAAGTGTTCATGCATTCTATTTGTTATCTCAAGTTTTATTTAGGATTTCTCATTCCTTCAGGACTTTTTATACTCCTATATCTAACAATATTTATGTGCACAAAACTAGTTTATTTAAAATTATGGAGTTAACTAACAATTTTTAAGCTCTTTGAATTGAATTTAAATGTATCACTTGACACCAAATACTCCCTTATTGGGCATATTTTAAATTCTTTTAACACCTGTTTTGGAAATTAAATTGTAATTTAGATAGTCCTGCTGGACTTTGTTATATTAGAATAAAATAAAGTATTTCATAAACCAGTAAGTTCAGAGACTGACACTGGCATAGAAACAGAAGCCCAACTAAATATGTCAGTCACACAGTTTTGCCTCCCTCAGTATATTTATTCCTCCAATATTCAGCATTGAACAAAATAAGAAATACTCCTCCTGTTCTTCATTATTGAACTTGAATACTTGTTCTTTAAAATACCTATCACTGTTTTTACCACCTTTTGAGGTTTTTATGAACAGCCAAAATACTGAAGTTTTCCTAGTTTCAGAAAAATGTGGAGTTGATATCTCACTAATTATTGTCACACAATATTGCATGACTAGAACTTTGTTATTTGATACCTGAATTATGTCATCCATAAATGCAAACATAATACAATATTGCATTACGTTTACTATAGTGTAGACTCTTAGTCAGGATGTGTATAGTTGTGTTCGAGTCAAGGGTGTCTGTAGATTAGGGAAAAAGAAATAGTAGAGTTCCTTTTATAAAAACTTAAAACTCAAGTTTTTTCCCTTTTGGGGCCAGTTTCAAGCTATACTCTTTGCCCCACTTGGCAATACATCCTCTCTATTAACTGTACCTAGGGTCTTAGGATGGAGCACCCCTCACTATAGGGTAGTGACTGAATGATGAAACATGCCAGTAGATGTATTTTGACAGGTGAAAAGGGAATACTCTGAGAAAACCTGCAGTGGAAGGCATGAAGTCAGACCACTAAGCTAAGGGTCACTCCTGCTTCCTTTTATAGAATCACTTCTTAGAATATTTTTAGCCACGCATACCTTCAAAGCCTCTGGTGTAATTATATTCAAAATGATTGGTGCGATGTTGACGTTGAACATTCTGCAGTCGTTCCTCTTCTGACCCATAGAGATCATATTGTTTTCTTTTCTCAGGATCAGTTAAAATAGCAACTGCATTTCCTATAGCTGAAAACAGAAAACAATATTAAATAGGAATATTTTTTTTATTTTCACAATTAAGAAGTCATATAAAAACAAATAAACCATGTAAAATAGACCAGCAAATATTCAATATATTAAAAAATAATACACACACACAAAATTAGAATGTAATAAAATTAAAATTCCACTCGCAAATGTTTTATCTCTTAATTCTAAACCCATAATAAATGTCTTTCTAAAGTTTACAACCTTTCAATCCAAAATAAAAAATGATGCAAACTATTTCATGGGAGTAAATATAAACACCTATCCACTATTGTACTCTACATCACTAATGCCCTCAACTGAGTAGAAATGGTGGAATGGAGATCCTATATTAATCAATATCGCCACGAACCATATTCTGTTGGCATAAAACACATCCTAAACTAATTATTAATATTGGGTCATTTCAAGAAAAATCGGTGCACATTTTATTGGCCCTCTCCAAATTACCTGAAAACACTTTTACTTTTTCATTTTTATCTAAAACTAGTAGAAATGTGCTCATTTGTTTTAGTCAATAACATTTTCATTTTCAAATTCACATAACAGTATTTAGCAGTTTTTGCCCTATTTCACAGAGCACTAAGAAACAAAATGGTAACAACTTATAAAATTAATAGAAACAATAGACATTTTGATAATTTTGAATGTATAGACGCATAAGCTTTTGATTTAAATCACTCCTAGTGATTTTGGGCATGGCCATGATGAAAAGAAGTCAGAGGTCAAAAATATATATTTCTTCTTCCAAAATTCATTCTCAAAATACACTCTTTTTTTCGCAGAAACTTTGAGAAATTGAAAGTAAGGGATCATACTTAAACATTAAAAACTGATTTTTTTGTGTGTTCTGAAATTCTCCTGAATTGAAATTGATATTCCATATTTTCTATTTTCCATTTTAAGAGAACATGATATGTAAAGGACCCAATTAATTACCTAATGTTGTAATATTTGAAATTATATATTCATAAAGTTTCTAATCTTGTAATTGATTACATTTTAACACTTATTGTAGGTGGTGCCACATGTTTCATTCAAATTCATATAATAAGATATAGGAGTGTACAAGAGGTAGAACCAGATAATGTTCCTGAGGCGTGCAAGAACATCGGTACCTGCAATAATGTAGATCACGTACTAGAAGAATTAGTTAGTGAGAAAGATGATGCAACAAGTGATGACGTAGTCGTAATGTTATGGATTTAGGGTAGAGGTGTTCTCCAAAGGCCAGCAGAAATTAGAATTGTAACTACCACAAGTGATGTTCAAAACGTAATAAAAGATATTGGTCCTATAACAAGTGAGGAACATAAAACTATAGAAAACTTGCCATTTCATAAACATTGAGAATAAAAAAATGTAAATCATTCCAAGAGAAAGAGAAAGTACATTTCGGAAAATTATTGGTTTCAACTCGGCTTCGTGAACAGAATTCTAGAGTTTGTATGTTATCTTCTAGATCAAGAAGTTAAATTACACAAGAATGTTTGAAACATAAGCAATATGGCAAGTGTACATTAAAAGCATGCACTAATTTTTAGGGTGGATGAATTATATTTATATTTTGTGATTTTATTAGCTTCCAGCAAATTGCCCTATTGTTGAATGTATTTGGAAGCTAGTTGCAATTTATAATATCATTAATTCTTCATATCCTTTTAACCAAACTCACAAGTTCCTGCCTAAACTAACTTTTGCAACGACAAAAATTATAACCTCTGCAGTACATACATCAACACAGAGGATTATACTGAATAAGAATTAGATGTAGAAAATGGTATTGGTCTGTGATAAGATTTTGCGAGAACAGAGCAACAGTACATATGTAGTTGCTCTACAGAAGAAGATAACCTAACATTTCTTTATTAAAATTTACACAAAGCATTACTTTACCTGTTCTTACCAAAGCCTTCAGTTTAACACCTTGACTACTGATCCCTAAATGGATTTCTAGTGTAAAGGAATGTGTAAGATTTGACAGAAGACTTCATATGATCAACAAAGAAAAGCAACAACAATTTGCACTGGAAGGCTCATGGATCATGTTTGGTAGCATCAAGTGCAATCTAGGATTGCATCCTGATGGTTGCTTTGTGAAGAATTATGTTTAAAATAAACTATAAATTAATAAAACTATTAACTAATAAAATAGGGTAATCTCATTTTCATTAAAATCCTTGAGAAAAAATATAAAAGGTCTACACAATAAATATTATTACAAGATCCCTTTCTTTTTTTCTTTTAGGCATAATTTAAGAATATATTTTGATTAAAAAGCTACACCATTAAATATTTTTTCACTAACTTGTGAAAATTAAATTTCACTAGTAATTTTACACACCAATATGTGGACTGCAATTATTTTCAATTTATACACATTTTCTCTGTGTTTATATGTAATAAATACATTCCAACTATGGAATAAATCCGGGCTCATGATGTTTTTGCTCCCTAGAGGTAAGGCTGATTGGTCCTGATTCTTGGCAGAAGCCCTATGAAAAAGTCAAGTGTCAAACGTCTGTGTGTGAGAAATTCAACTGTGCCACTTATCGCTCCATACTGACACGATTTTGTTCATAGACACCCATGTTCCATCTACACAAACACAATTACCAAAACAGCCATTGCCATTGTCGGCAGATAGTTATTGTCACCTTCACTATCATTAGTTAACAATAATGAAACCAATAATTTGGTCAAGGAAAGAATTTCAGCAAATACTTGAGAAGGTTTGCAACAGTAACAATTACTGAAAGTTGAATTGTAAGAAATCATATAAATATTTTTATCTAAGACTTATAATGCAAAGAAACTACCAAAAAGTACATAGTATTATTCTCAAGAGATCTTGCATTCTGTCTACATTTTTAAAATCTTTATTCCCACACAATGCATTCAATATTTGCCTCAAATGATTTACTGCAACAATCTCAGGAATTTTGTCCTGTTGTGATCTGTAAAAAAGCTTCTCAGTCTCAATTTACAAATTTTCAAACCAGAAAAAAATTGCTCACATACATACAATTGCTCATAGGCAGACCCAAACATGCTTAAAATTTGGGCAGCATACTTGGAGTTTAGAAAAATGTTTACAGGGAAAGTTTTTGTAAAAATTAAGTAGAGCTTTATTGTGCTGAAATTTGTCTTTAAAATCTGAATTATTTTGAAGATCTAATATTTGCAACTGTACATTGTGATTTACACTGTCAACATTGAAAATAGCAAAACGAAAATTTTGTATCTTATTCTATAAAAGAAATTTCATGAAATCTATTCTCAAAACATACATTCTTCATTGGTGTACTTGTTGTGTACTCAGCAGCATGATTCACTGAGCAATGACTCTAGATGATACTCTTTAACTTGATTAAAACTTCAATGAGAAACCAAACATTTTATATTATCTCCAGTTTAAAAAAAAGAAAAAGTTAATTCCATTTATTTCAAAAATTATCAGACTATTATTACGAGAGACACTTGCTCCCCCTACCAAGACAATATTTTTCAATGATGTCTTGTATGAAACTGAACTGTCCACATTTTTGCTTCTACCTCTCAAACTCTAGCCCTTCCCCCCACAGGCTTCTCTTGCTCCCATCATCCGTTCTGGTCACTGCCAACGTCTCTTTGCTCTCGAATAATTTTTCTGATGAGTTCTGGTATAAATGATATGTATTCATTTAAAACATATCCTATTCCCATAGATTGCCTTAGAAATAAAAGATATTCCTGGGTCTCACAGACCCAGTATGAGCATTCCCGTTCAAAAATTCAGCCTGAGCATTGAAATACATACAATATATAAAACAATTTACACAAATTTGTAACAGTGATAATTAGACAGCGAATTGTTAAATATAGGCATATTTTTATGCTGTAAGAAACTTAACATTTACTCTTTTCTCCAAAACCCAAGCTCATTAAGATCGCACAAGCATGACATAGCCTAATCAGCAATTTTGTGGCTACATAAAATAAAACAGCAAAATATACCAATTTCAAAGACTTCACAGCAAAACAATTTTGAAATTTTTACTTTATGAATTAAAGTTTGACTTTTACTATTATTACAAGCAATATTCCCCAATTTAGCAATTTCAACTGAAGTTTATAATGAAGTTAGATGGAAATTACTCTACGGGACCATTTGGACAACTTCTGCTGGTCACATAACTGCAGGTTATGCCCATGCACTCGATTCATCCATGCGTTAGTTGGCAATTGGCTCACTTGTAAATAGGTTGAACACTATCACTTCAAAAGCCATCTTCTGACAAGAGTTCATTTGTTTTCGGACCTGTCAAACTGGTCCCTTTCTAGAGAAACTTCTCTATACACATAGTCTCTATTACCCTTGCTCCCACAAACTTTCCATGAACTGAAAGTAATGACTTCACACAAGGTTCACAATGATAACTAATTGCCTTCTAATATAAACATTACAAGCAGTAATCTTTCATCATGCCATTTTAATAAACCATTCCGAGCAGAGCATAGGGAAGTAATTGGTATTTTCTATAATAATTTAAGAACTGTCACCTTCTGTGCAAGTTCAGTCACCTTAAATGAAATTCTGCAATTAAAAACAAACCTTTAAATGCTTCATTAGCTCCAGGGGTTTTGTTCTTATCAGGATGCAATTGTAGAGCTAACTTTTTATATGCTTTCTTGATTTCACTATCTGTTGCCTCTTTAGTCACTCCCAAAATTTCATAATAATCTTTACATTTTTTTACCCTGAAAATAAAAACAACATATAGTGCAAAATGAATACTTTTAACCAAAATAGTGTGAACAAAATTATGTTATTGCCAACAATCTTGAATAAAAAAATCAAGCACCTTTTCACCGCTTCTAGATGTTCTTTATTAATTGATGGTTCAGTATCAGATGTCTCTTGGTGTTTTGGTTCCTCCTTTTTAACCGCTGTAAATGTGAAATGTCACAGCAACAAAATTTGCACATCAAATTTTATAATCCTATTACTTCAAAAGGAAAAATTAACGACTCTCTATACTCACTAGTACGTCGTTTCTTCGGTAGTTCTTCTGTTTCTGACTGAGGGGTTGAATTATTTGTAGACTTCAAAAGTTCCAATAGATCTGGAAAAATTATCAGTGACATCATATTCCAAAGTAAGAATAGAAGGGTAACGAAAATAATAAATCCAAAATACGGTCTCAAATTCCAGACAAAAATAAGCAAGTCATACCTTTAGCTTTTGTAGTAGGATAAAGTCGTTCTGCTTTCTGGAGAAATTTTTCTGCCTTTTCTCGTTTTCCTTCCGCAATAAACTTTGCTGCCAATTCAATACACCTGTCTGCTTCATCCTTGTTGCCTTCCATCATTACACTTTCTACTTAATTTCTATCTACGAACTATTATAGTTATGTCTCACAATTTAAGGTGACATTTACTGAAACACATCTATTATTAAAGAGTAAGTAGCCCGAGGAAAGCGGAAGAAAAACGACGAACATAAAAATACGAAAATGCAATTCTAAACACTCGTGAGGCTTAGTCCATTTCCCCTAATTCAGTATTAAAATCCCAAACCAACGACCCTGAACGTCTACGACAGTCTACGAATACAGACGACACCACACGACACACATGACACAGCCAAGAGCCCGGCAGTTTTCTCTCCAATACTCTCTGGTTTTCACGAATCAGGCCTGTTTCCACTCGTCACCACTAGATGGCTTCTCTAGCATAATTGCCGTGGACTTACGTGGACCAACGCCGGAGACCAGAGACACGTCATGAAATAGTGAATATTTATGCGATGTATTGCCGATACTACGCACTCTATTAAACCTCTATCGAAGAAATTAAGTACCAATACCATAATGGTATAAAATTCACAGAACAAAATAAGGCATAGTGAAGTGTGTCAACAACGGACCCCAGCGTAGCTTTTTCCAATACCTTTGTTTGGATAAAGAGTTAAGACTTACCTTCCATTTCATTTTTTTAAAAACTTTTATTATCAGTGATTAGTCTATAGCGGAGTAGTTTTATCCCTTTATGGTGTAATTTTTGTAATTCTAGTATATTCCATACCGGGCTGTCGCGCACTGATTTGCCGTCCTGGAGGAAGTATATTTTGCCGCTTTCAAAAGAAATACTTTAATTACATACTTTTAATAATAGAAGAGTTTAGTTTTTAAAATAGTATTTACGGAAGTGTTATTATAGATTTATTAAATTGTAAATAATATCTATATAGATTATAAAATATGGCACTTTTCGAACTTTCCAACTTGCAATTTTTTTAATGAAACTCTAAATAAATATTGTTGCAAATTTCACTTTCAATTAGTATCATTGCCAAATCTGTTAATATTTCTTGTGACATGATTGATCATGGGAAGTTTTTGCATTAATAATTTTTAATTTTGAAAATGATCTTTGGTGGCTATTGCAACTGGCAAAATTTGTAATATCATTGTAATATTAGGGAATTGCACGGGTAGTTTATTACTTTCTCGTCGTACGAAGTTTTTTTTTTTTTTTTTTTTTTTTTTTTTTTTTTTTTTTTTTTTTTTTTTTGTATATGAATTATAATACTTCAATTGGTGATGACTTTGATTTGAGAAATTTCATTATTGTATTTAGTTCACAGCAAGTACTATTGCACTATTCTATAGCTGCAAGTACTATATCTTTTGGACTATATCAGTTTCATCGATCCATCCAAATTATAGATCCATGTAATTTTTTTAATTTGTCTGATTAACTAATTTCTTCTCGTTTGTTGAAGACAAATACATAATTGACCGCATCACTTTGCCTTTAGCAATTGAAACCTTTACTCTATAGATGAAACTGTAGTGTCAATAATAGTTATCTATTCGAAAATGCGGTTCATACGGTGTGCGGAAATTGTCTTTTGAATCATTTGTACTGTCATCGCCATGTTCAAAACCGAACATTGTTTTCTTTTTTCGCCTGCATGTTAGTGGGGGGGGGGGGATTTTCATTTACATTGCACGAATGAGCAAGCTGAGTTCAAGTGCTCAGTATTTCATCAAAATTATTGCGATGTCTGATTGTTCCTTTTAGATTTAGATTTTAGTTAGTAAATAAAAAAGAAGTGAAAACTGTATGTGACGCATGGGGGAGAAGATTAACTGCGCACGTTTTAAGTATACAGGATTCTTTGAGACTCCGCATATAAAATTGCATCAAAATCTGATAAGGAATCGTAAGATTGCGATTTAATTGCGATGCAATCTAAAATTTGCATCAAATGGCAATTTTTATACATTCAGAGCAACTTTTTACTTCACATATTCAAACAGTGCACCCTAACTCAGAAACGGTACGACATATCAGTGTGTGAAGACATGTCTATGTCAAAATGATAATGTTTTTTGCCATCTTTAATGGCATCTCAAGCTAAGTCCGACAAGATTGGGTGTCACCCTGCATTTTTACATATACTGTCATACTTAAGAATCAAAAGTGAAAACGCGTGCGAAAGTTTTTGCGTACTCGTGCACCACTACGACTGACACTGCTCTAAGCAGCGAAACTAACTTCGATAAAACTTGTAGAGCTAATACTGCTCGCAAAATCTCGTAATTTTCGAACATTAGCAATTGCCGGCGTCGCTAGCCGAATTTTTTAATTCTGCTCTGTGAAGTCATGGAAGTTTAGCGAATTGGAGACTTCGCGGATTCCAGGTTGGGTGACGTCTAGGAACTCCGGGATCTAACATCCACGAGCCCCTGGCCGAAGGAAAAGGGGAACAGAGTGACTACGACCTGAGGAGTCTTGACAAAAATAATAAGGGAGGGCTACTCCATGCCAGGCGCTCAACACCCAACGAGGGTTCAGAGACGCGTTGCGTCGACGAAGACGCAACAAATGTTTTAAAAAATTCAGAAAGTTCAAGGAAAATGAGACTTGCACCATTTTAATCGTTCTTTACTCTTTCTTACAAAAAAAACAAAGAACAAAATTGGGTCCGTTTTTGAGAAGATTTTTATAAATTGCAGCAACTTCAATAACAAATTACACGAAAACTACTAGTTTTTTTAAAAATGTATATGGCCTTTAAAGATCTAGTTTTTAGAATTGATTTAATTTAATATATTAATAAATTTAATCTCGCAAATGCTGTGGGAGTATTCCCTTTTCTATCTACACCTTCCTCCCTCGCTTTCGTTCCTGTCTTCAATGTGAAAAATCCCTCATCCAAATTGCGCACTCTTTGAATGTCCTTCATTTCGTTAACTATTGTATTAAATTTTTTTAAGTGGTCAGACGGAAGAGAACGCTAAATGTCCTGTGCCTCGTACCCAATAAAGACATTTATTTATTTACTTAATTAATTTAATCTTTAACTTTTACTCAGCTTTCAACTATTTATAGTTAAAATGATTAGAAAGGATTCTGGAACTCAAGAAAAACATGCGTAGATTATCTTCTCCTCCATACGTCACATACAGTTTTATTGTTTTTTGACTAGATAAATATGAATATTCGCTGTTTTCCGGTACACGATTACAATACTTTCTCTTCTTTCAAGTAAGGGCTGGAAAGAAATAATTAAAAATCTTCATCTACTCCCACAAATAATTTAAATACATTTTTTCATAAGACTGCTATACTTCATATTACTGCTAGATTATAAACAGATCGATAGCATTTCAATTTTCTTTATTCCAGTTTTATCATATCGATTTTTTTAATGATCTCTCTGTCGACTTCGGGATTGTGATTACAAAAGATCCAGGCAGGGTGTTCTTTAATGAAAAAATTCAAGAATAATTTTCGCGAATTACTGTTGCTTTCTTTATCAAGTACAATGGCTTACAGTTCAAAATTTTCGTTGCATTGAGAAGACTTGTGTTTGGAATAAAATTTTCGATGTGTAAATCTGTTGATTGTGCTAAACATTCGAAATCAGCGGCGGAAACTACGAATAAAAAGCAGGCTCGAACAGTTCGGCATCAGTTGGAAAGCAACGGTGGTAATATGAGTTCCGCAGTCAGGTAAAACCAGAGCAATGTCACTTTCGCTTCGGCATGAAACATTGAAATCCATGCTAAGATCACACTGCCGTTCGCAGACAAACTTCTTAACAGGGCCACTCGCGAAGACCGAGCAAGAGAAATCTGCGATAGCGGCCAAATAACGCGACTTTTGCGGGACGTTCACTGGCGAATAAAATTCATCTCCCCTTAACTGTAGTACTAGTTATCAATATTCGCTACTTGGGTCCCACTACCGTGTTTTCGTAAGTAAATGCGATAAGAATGTGAAGCGGCTCGATTCGCTAAGGAAATACAGTGCATACAGTATTGGGTAGATTCGAAAGTTTCTCCTCCTTGTTTTTCTACTCCTTCACCACCTTCTTTTTCTTCTTCCTTCTCCCCATTTTATTCTTTCGACTTCTTTCTCTTTGTTCGTTCTAGTACCCTTACGTACGGAATACACATGTATAGAGAAAATTAGGTAATGCTGCGGAAATTCGATATCGGATCTTTTAACAGAAATACAGTTTTTGGGAGACCCTTATACCGAAACAGTTATTCATGTATCAAGAACGAAAAGTGAATGATTTTGGAAGAGGTGTTTACCTACTGAGGCGGAGCATAGTCTAAGCCGAGGTTGGAAAATTACCTAGTCCAAAGGATATATCTTCGCCTCTAGGTACATCAATTTTTCGTATACTAACCTTCCAATTTAAAGTTTCAGTTTTTAGAAAGAGTTCTTTCAAAACCATCTGTTTTTGTGACATGAATACAAATGTTGTTCTTCATTATAACCTCTGAAGTCAGTTACAATTGTTGAATTACTGAAATTGATAACTGTTGAAACTATTTCTAAACTGTAAGGGAATTGAAGCTGGTATTGGCGGTTCATTTAATAATGGAGAGCTATATTCCGAAAATTATATTTGAGGAAGCAGAAGCTGCTTCTCAGAGCCGCCTTCCTCAAAAATCAAAACGAACGAGAGTTTGATCTGTTTTAACTGCGGAAACCGCCTTAGGCGTCTCAGGGCATAAATTGATATCACTGCAGTACAGTGGCGGCTCGAGAACAAATGTTCAGGGTAGGCAAAACAGTTAATTGAACAGCAGCGTGTCCCAGGAAGGGGTTATGGGAACCACGCCCCACCTCATTCGATATTTTGTAATTTTATTCAATTTATTGAAAACAATTGTCTCACTGATATCATTACACTCCAAAGCATTACTTCCATGAAACTCGCACGGACGTGATTTGATGAAGATCTTTTCAAATTCTAAAAATGTGATTCTGAAAGCTTTCATCAAATTAATGGAGAAAAGTTACGAACTGTAAATGTCTCACTGATAGCTTGAAATACTTTCTGCATCCGCCCGTTACAGAATGACATCAGTAATTTTGATGTTAAGTTTAGCAATCAGAGAGTATATATCAGTAATGGCAGTTAGCAATAACTTACCTTCATTTATAAAGCAAGTCGATTCGCTGATCCTTTGTGTTAGCATTGCGCCTACTGACATCATCGTACCAGTGCTCGGATTTTCTAGCTGATCTTGAAGACCAAGCTCACTATTTTACATACATATACATCACAATAGATATTGTGATTATTGCTGTAAGTCTATTTTATCTAATGGTGGATCTTAAATAAGATTTCACTCTTTTCAAACACGAAAAGCATCTCTTAGCACTGCAGCTTGTTTCCGGAATTGTAGCAGCAAAGCAAAATAGTCCGTAAGCTTCCGACAATATATTATGAATATATCACTGTCTACAAATTAAATAATGACATCTGTAACACTAAGAAATATGAATTGATTA